TGGGCGTCCATAGGATGGATCTCTCATCCCTTCAGTGTGCATGAGGCATATGCCTCTAGCACGCCTCATGAAAAAAGCGTATGAGGCATATGCTTCTTGCACTTGAGGCGTACGCCTCAGAGGTGTTAGCACCTTTGGCATACGCTCCAGGGCGTCTTGGGGGCACCTCGCTTGGCGCGCCTCTAGGCGTACACCTCCCACGCCTTTTAAGGCCCTGTGTAGTCTTCTCTATAGTTTTATTGGTGATCTCCCTCGTATTTTGCTTTTCTTGAGGGCTATTGCTTTTATTTGCCCCCCTCATAGGTGTTTTGCTTATTTAATATTTAATAAACTTAACGGTGGTCATCCATCTTGCCTATTTATGATGGTTAATATAACAATCTTATGGGTCTTCAATTTTTTTTTCTCTCAATTGCAGGAAATGACACCTCAGGCAGAGATTATTTCCACAAGATACACAAAAAGTGCCATTAAATCCTGTGCAGCATTGTCATATGTTGAAGCTCAAGCCAGGATGGACGATAGGTTGTTTTATTTACCATTTCTTTCATGTTTTTTGTATTTTTGTTGGTAATTTAAAAATACATACATGTCTGTTTATATTCACGAAATAACATGTTTCTTTTTGGGAATGGCATCATATGTATTTATCCGATGCTTCTGGTGGTCGTTCATTGCCAAGCACTTCCTAAATTGCACTGTTTCAAGAAAATTATCCAATGTGTACAAGATTGCAAGGGAACTGAAAAATTATCATTGATTCTGAATTTTTTAACTTTTCACTTCTAATTAAAGAATATGTGGTGGTCTGTTGGTGTTTTGATAATCTGTTAAAAACTTGAAATATCTAAATTTCTATTTTTTGGCGGTCGGGTTACTGATTTTTTGATATACTGTTTGGCTAAAGTACCACTTGATTTCCTGTTTCATGTGTATTATATGGCAGTCATCATATTGCCCTCTTTTCTTTTAAGCCTCCTAATTTGCAAATTTATGGAGGAATTCTTTTCATTTGCATGGTATTTGCAGTCGCCTGATGGATCCATTAACCACTGATCTGCGGAATATGAATGCTTTAGCAAAGGTATGCACACTGTGTTTGTGCATTAAGCGTTATTTACTTGTTTTTGATTGATAAATGATAACATGACCAAAAGAGATTTATTAAAAAAATATCAAGAGATAATGAGTGAGATAACAATACCTCCCCAATGCAGAAGAATGTGGGGCTGACTGGTACACCCAAATAAGCTAATCCAGAAGGGCCAAACTCAAGCCTATCTCACTCCTACCTCCAGGCTAAATGCACAAAGGATTTCCTTATGCATTGGGCCATAACAATAGCTAAATCTGGATAAAGTGACAAAAGGTTCATAATTCCCATTTTTATGGTCTGGTTTTCCATTTCTACAGATTATGAGGCTCAGACGAATTGAAAGAGGAGCTTTAACTCTTGCTTCTGCAGAAGTGAAATTTCAAATTGATACTGAAACTCATGATCCTCTTGATATTGGTATGCAGCAAGTATTTATATGTTTTGGTTACTAAATGATAAAGGATGCACACTTTTTTTTGGGGGGGGAGGGGACAATTGGTTCTTCCTGTTGTACCTAAATGATCAACTATTATATTCTTGTTTTAAATCTAGAAATTTGTAGTTGGATACAGGATTCATGTAGCTGAACATAATGGAAAACAAAACAGGATTCATGTAGCCAATCCCGTGTAGTTGGGACAAGGCTTAGATGCTTGAAGATGATTATGATACTTTCACCGGCAACATGAATTAAATGTGATAGGCCATGATTTCATCTTCATATCAGTGTATGGGATGGGTGTAATCATGATCTGGTTATAGTTAGATGTAATGACAAATGTACACTATGATTATCTCAACTCAGCTAGGCCCAATGCCAACTATATGGGGTTTGCCACACAAATCTTATTCTCCCATTGTGGGTTCATAGAACCTGAGGTGCAAGACAGATGACAAGGTGTGCACCTAAATGTAGTGAGGCTTCACTTCAGAAATAAAATCAAAAGAAAGCTTATATCTAATATCTGAAAGAAATAAAATATCTATTCATAAAAAAAGAAATAAAATATCTCAGAAAACCTTTTTACTCAATTAACTTGGTGCATTGTGCTATTAACATGAAGGCTGAAGCCTTGTACATTCAAGACCATATACTGAAGCACTAACTATTTAAACTCTAAATGTCATAGGTACAACCTGGAAAATAGTAAATTATCTATTCAACTTCACATTCAATGTTAATTTATTAAAATATAGCAAAAAGCTAGGTGAAACACATCTGTGAGCTTAGGCTCTCCATTTTAAACACTGATATGCAGTTAGATTGTATGTTTTAGATCATCCCATGTGATCTCAAACCCATGCCTTCTTTGTCCTTCCCCATGTTCTTACAGAGCTTTCTGTTTATAGCACTCTAACTCAGTAGTGCAGTTTTGACCCTTTTTCTTTATGATGAGTAATCGTCTTCTCATTTTTTCATCTTATTGAGATTACCCATACATCTTCCAACCACACTGAATGAATCCTGCTTTTTTTTTTGAAAAATAACATGTTTACATTATTAAATCATATAAATTTGTTACATGGGTTCCAAAGTTCTACCCTTTGTGGTAGTTATCCACAATTAACCAACACAAGAATGGTCTCAATACAAAGTTTACAACCCCCCAAGGAAGAAATCCCCAAAATAGATGATTCCTTGCTGTCCTTGTTTAGCTTACAAATCTACTAAAGCATTTGCTGATCTTGTTATCCAAACCACTGTGGCGGCATATGCAAGTGCTTATAAGAATATTTTAAGCAAGTCTCAAATCTACTAAAGCATTTACATGGTAGACCTGCAGAATGCATCATCAAGACATCAACCAAAAAAGAAGTGACTGTTGGGCCAGTCAAACCTTGTTTTTGATGATTTTTTGATGAACCAGTCAGACCTTGTTTGAATTAACTGAAATTTGATGGCGTTTAAGTACACTTATAGTACTCCAATACTATAAAATTTCAGCCCAATCGAACATGTGGTAGTACCCCAACTAAAGACCTTAAGTTGGCTGATTTTTTGGGTTATACAAATCATGGTCAAAGTCCTAGTCAACAAGGTGACCAGAATTTATAGTAATCCTCGTCATTACTATTTATGGTAAAAGGTGGCTTTCTATTTTTTTTTTAAGAATTCTTAGTTTCTTATGTTTAGTTGAATTAGAGATTAGTTATAATGTCCTAGTTTGAAAAAGAGGTTTCTACTTTTTGTTTGAAGTTTCAATTACATGTAGGAGTTAGAGTCCATAGGAGTCAGAAGTTTGAGTCTTAAAGTCCAAAGAGGAGTTGGAAGTTTCTACTTTGGGTCTATAAAAGGTGTCAACAGGTCTTGTAGAAAACAATCTATTCCATTCAATTGAATAAAGAATTCTTCTTTTCTTCAGTTTCTGCCATAGCAGCAACTATAGTAGAACTAATTCTTATTTCCTCTTCTATTTTCTCTTCTGTATTTGCTTGTCAATACTTGTAGCTAAAGCCTATTGTTGTGTGTTGGAAATTTTCTGTTTCACACCAAGAACACTCAAAATTTGTTTTCTTCCCTTATTGAATGTCCATATTTCCATGGACCTTCTTTTTTAATCCACCCTGTCACCACTCGAGTCTCCTTCAACTATGATTTGCCTGAGGTCCATATACTTGGCCCTTCTTACTCCTAGAGCTGCCAACAGTTCTTCTCTAGTTGAATCTCCATTGTCAGAAGGTCCAGAAGAAAGTGCTATAGCCCTCCTCCTTTCTGAAAAATGCCCCATACCATATTCTCCTGGATTGCCCAAACTGCACCCATCAAAGCTCATTTGATAAGACCAGCCACTACATTCTCCCACTAGATTGCCAAAGGTAGTCTTCTTGAAGATGATGATTGAGCCACCGATTTCCAGTTTCTTAGTATGTCTTGAAGATGATAACTTGTCATTCCATCAAATTAATATTTGAAATTGCTGCATATCCCTGTCCATCTTGATATTGAAGTAGAGAAATTACTCCCCCTTTAGACAGTGTTTCTTGAGCTTCTTTCTCCAAGACCTTTTGTGACTCCTCAACTTCTTCCTTTCCCTTTAAAGAGTTTTGGTGTAGACCCATCCCACCCAGAGTAAAGAGCCTTTTGTTGGGAAGTAATTCACATGAAGATAAATACTATGAACTTGCTACAAAAGAGAAGACCTAATTTCCGTCCTTTCCCTAATTGGTGTGTCTTATGCAAATCTAGTAATGAGAGTTGTCTTCATTTACTGATTTCCTGCCCTTTTGTTGCAGATATTTGGCTTTGGTTTTTTTCTTTGTTTGGATGCAGGTGGGCTTTAGCAACGGAGGTTAATTTGTTATTTGATCCCTCCTTGTTTGTTTGATCGAAGAAGAGAGAGAGGATAATTTGGAGATGTGTTAAAGCAGCCTTGATTTGGACCATCTAGGAAGAGAGGAATGCAACAATATTCTCAGAGAAGGAGAGAAGCAAGGAAGAAATCAAGATTTGTGTGATGGTTAGGGTGATCCACTAGATCAAGACTTTGTGGTTGTTTTCCCAATTTTCCTTTGATGATATTTGGAGGAATTGAGAAGCAGTTGCTAAAAGCTCTAAGAGAAAGGACAGAGTGGAGGTTGTCTGGGTACCACCAATTGAAGGTTTTATTGAACTGAACTTTAGTGGGAACAGCCGAGGTAATCCAGGCCCTTTTGGAATAGGAGGAGTTTTGAGAGATGGAGAAGGTAAACTTATAGCCAAGGTTTTAAAAACCGGCCTGGAAAAGGAACCGCTTTGATCACTGGTTTCCGGTCAGCGGTTCAACCGTCCAGGTCGAATGTTTCAAGTGATTCAACCCTTAGATTAGAATATTAGGGTAGACACATATATACATACCTCTTCTTTTATGAGAAAAGAGAGATAGGAGGCTGTTGGCTGAGAAAACAAGAAAGAAAGGAAAAAAAAGGAAAGAAAGGGAGGAGGAGGAAAAGGCAACGGCATTCACTGGTAATGATGATGGTGGTAACAATGTTAGAAGAAGAAGAAGAAGAAGCAGGAGGAGGAGGAGGATGCAACAACGTTAACCGGCAATGATGATGGCGGCGGCAACATTCACCGGTGACGATGATGGTGATGGCGACAACAACAATAACTCTCTTTCTTTGATCTGAGATCTGATTTCAGATCTTGCTTCTTTCTCTCTAATCTCTCTTTCTCTCTCTCTCACACACACACACACGCACAAACTGCTGCCCGGTTCGAACGGTTTAGCGGTTTGACTGTTTGGGTCAGCGGTTTTCAGACCAATTCAACGTTTTTCTTCAAAAAAGCAGTTCAATCCAAAACTGGACCCGAAAACATGACTGATTCCCGGGTCAAATGGTTCGGTTTGGTCCGGTTTTCAAAACAATGCGTATAGCACTTTTTTTCTGGCCCTGCGGGTATGGGTGACTCCCTCAAAGCGGAACTGCTTGCTGCAATTCAAGGGGTGCAGATAGTTAGTGAGCTAAACTTGACAAATGTGGTGATTGAAAGTGGTGGTATAATGGCTAAAGAATCCAGAGTCTATAATCTGGTGCTACTGGAATGAAATGAAAAAATTTACTTGGCTAACCAGGAATATGGATTTTTTGGATTCAATGGGTGAGGAGATCAGCAAATGGGATGGTGGATGCTTTGGCTAAGCAAGGGGTGAATAGGTCTATTTTATTCAGGGCACACTTGTAATGTGTTTTCTTTTTTTTTTTTTTTTGTATGAGAGGTAGCAGCTCATGCCTCTCTATGGGATGCTTTTAAAGATATGACAAAGTTTATTAATAAAATTCAAGTTATTTATCGAAAAAAACAACATGAACAAGGCATAATTGAGGCTATTCTTTACATTACTCAGAAGCTTGAACCTTTTGAACGTTTCACAGTACTTTTGAGAAACTAAAAGCATTAAAAGATAAAATTAATTTTATTTGTCTAAATGTTAAGTTCCACTTGGATCAATGTAGGATGACCCTTGTTAGTGCAATAAAAAGGCCCAGTGGAACATGAAAAGAATAGGTACTATATTTGATGTGTGTGTGTCTATGTATATATTCATTTATTAGGAAAGGCATGCTTGTTTTCTTATTAAGGCTTACCCGCTTTTGGCAAGTGAAATGCCTAAATTTACATGTTACATTGATTATTCAGATCACAAGTGAGTTTTATTTTTTAACAACGAGCCTGATGACAAGAATAAACTCTAGACTATGCATGTTGGGAATAAAAAGGAAAAGGAATAAGGAGGGGGATTTCATATATGACAACTTTAAATAGGGGAGCTATAAAATTGTAGAAGTGAAAAAGTGTACTCCAAAATTTGCATTAAAAAAAGAATTAACCTGGTGGAATATTCCATTAGAAAAACCAACTATAACCTAGTGGGAGAAGAGCTACTAATTTCTTTATTAACTTTAATACTGCATTGATTTGTTCTCTGAAGGTGTACCTCTTTCTGTAGGAATGTATCAAATTCGAGAAGCAAACCAAATGGTTGAGGAGTTCATGCTTGCTGCTAATGTTTCAGTTGCAGAGAAAATCTTGAAACACTTTCCTCTGTGTTCACTGCTCAGGTGTGTTACTGATTTTATTTGCCATTCTGCTAAATGTAGAAGAGGGTCATCTGGAAGGGCTCTTTCGCCTTGGCATTATATCTTTATTTTGAAAGGAATTTTGCATTTATGGCTATCAAGTGCCATGCTGGTAAATTTAGAGTTAAACGTGAAGCATTATGGTGCTTGCCACATTCAAGAAAGAAATAGACAGATTCATGACCAAACACTGAGAACTACAGCAATATGGTACTCAAGGCAACATGGTCTTATTCCAACCATTTGGGGTTGGCTGCATCAATCTTGTTCCACCAATTGTTTCTACCAAGGGTTATGTCCTTAATTCTTTATGTTATTTCTTTACCTAATATTCTACCATGATCCATGCCTTCTGTCATCTTTGGTAGTCCTGTGCTCTTTTAGAAGCCTTTTGTTTTCAACTCTTCTTACTGTTGCACTAACAAGGATTAAAGAGCCTCTTCAACCCCTTTTTTTTGTTTACCATCTCAATCTACTATCTATGACCAATGTTTTGAAAATTGTAATCATATCATAAATCGTAGAGAAAGTTGCATCGAATCGAATTGTGAATCATATCGTAAATCATAAGATTATTTCTATTTTTTACAAATTGTCAACAAATTAAATATAGATATATTAAAAGGATAATTGTATATAGGAAAGTTAGCTTACCCTATTTTTAATCTATATCTACCATATATGTACTTGAAACAATAGAATTTACCACTTGCACAATAGAAGCCTAAGATATAATCAAGTTTGACTTGGAAACCAAACAAATCTACATACAGTGGCCCTTCAACTTACATATGATAGAAAATAAACTCAATTTCTAGTCTTGAATAATGTAAATGAATCATTTTCTAGTAAGGCTTTAAAAATGTCTCCCATGGTAACACTAAACATAAACAAAAAAATCAAAGTAAAGAACTAATTCTTAATTGAATTTATTTGAATTGTAGTGAATCATAAAAATCGTAAGATTTATGAATCAAATCATAGGATTCAAACAAAAATTGTAAGGTTTTTACAGAAAAGGATTCAGACATAAGATTCAAATCGAAACCCTTGGGATTCATGATTCAACTTGTGAATTGATCGTAAATCGTAAGATTTTGACAACATTTTGTCATCTATTGGATCTTTGCATGATGTGTTTGATTATACATAGTTGTCAAGGCAATGATTAGGTGACAAGGCACCCATGGAGGGTTGCCTTAGCTTTATCACCTTTCTATTATATACTCTAATATTCTGAATTTTTGATATTATAATGATAAAACAGACATTATTAATCTAAGTTGTTCAGTTTGTGAGTTAAAAATACTAGTTCTTTTTTAATTATTTTCTTTGTTAGGGTTCAATCAACAGTTCAACACACACGTTGATGTGCTGTCTTGAGCCTTTGAATACTAGTGAAAGATGGTTGTGGTTGCCATTGAACCTAGGAAATTACACTAGGATTCATGGTTTTTTTAAATATCCATTGCCTATGTGACACCTAGGCGACAAAGCATGCCCATGTTGCCTTGAGAACTATGTTATCTCCACTTATTATGTAGTATTGCTGGGCTTATTGATGTCAAGCCACCTAAAAAATTATGTTCATTCTGCACTTGCCCTACCCACATTACAAAAACAACAGGGCAGGATCAAAGTATCTATGGTGTTCTATATTAGTAAACAGATCTGTTGCATCCATCCATGAATGGATGGAGCCCACTATTTTCTTAATTAATTCTTTTATTCTTCCACTGAGCAGCTCCCGTTCTGAAAATTTCTCTGATTCTCTGATTTCTTTCCTTCCAAAATTGATGAGCAACATCTTGCTTGTCACTAGTGATCTACTCCAAAAGAAGAGACCCAATACTTGCTTGTCACCTCAGTGGTGTGTTCTGTGTAAAGCAGATGGGGAGACTGGTTTTCACCTAATGGTGTCTTGCCACTTCGCGAGGTCTTTGTGGGATTGGACTTTCTCCTTATTTGGATGCAGCTAGAATCCCCCATTAGACATGCAGGGCCTTTTCTCACCTTCCTTTTTCAGGTGGCGGGTAAAAAGGGGAAGGACAATGTGGAGAGGACTAAGGGCTGTAGTATGTTGGACACTGTGGGAAGAAAGAAACTCCAGGATATTCTCAGAAACTCAGAGAGGAACAATAGATCTGAGGGCTATCATACATTTTAGGGCGGTACAGTGGCTGAAATCTTTGGAAATATTCACAGATTACACTGTGGATGACATGTTGAGGAAGTGGGGTGAAATTGCAAATTGCACGCAGACCAAGTCAGTAATGAGTGTGGCTTGGACCCCCCCCACCTAGTGGATTCTTGAAATTAAACTTTGATGGATGCAGTAGGGGAAACCCGGGACAATCGGGGATCGGGGGTGTTTTTAGAGATGAAAATGGGGTCATCTCTGCTATGTTCTCAGGCCCAATTGGAGTGGGTGACTCCCTTAGAGCTGAGATATGTGCAGTTATGGAAGGAGCTCGGAAAGCTAAGGAATTGAACATTAAGAAACTTATAATTGAAGGGGATTCAGAGGTGGTGATAGGGTGGCTGACTAAAGATCAAAATGATTTATGGAAGTATAATAATGAGAAGAGGAAATTCAAATGGCTGGTGTGGGAGATGGAAGTTAAGTCATGTTGGATTAAAAGATCAGCTAATTCCCTAGCTGACGGTTTAGCAAAACAAGGGGCAGAAAGGGATTCTTTGTTTTGGGCTAAGCTGTAACGTTAGTGTCTTTGTATCTTTGTATTTTCTTTTTTCATTTCTTGAAGTTCTTTGTGACTCTTGGAAGATAAGTGTGTTTGTCTTCCACTTGTAAATTTTCTACTGGTGAATTAATGAAAGTGTTATTGATCAAAAAAAAAAAAATGAGCAACATCTTCATTATTTCATTATTGGGGATTTGGGTTCTCTCTAATGTGAAGTATTTTTCTCACTAGAATTTTCTATCTGAACTTTGGAGGAGAACTAAAAGAACTGGATGTTTTTCTACACCAGAAATATTGGACTACAACATGCTTTTTCATAATATGCTGCTCTTAGGATTAATCTTGTGTTATGCTTTATAGTTGCACATAGGAATATCTGGAATCCAGGATTGTTCAGAACTTGAAAAAAAAAGAAGATGAAGCCATTTTGAATATCAATTTCCAAGGAAATAATTCCTTTCTCCAAAAAAAGCCTTGTATTATGTATAATGGTTGGACATGGGAAGATATGGAATCTAGGATTTTTCAGGACTTGGAAAAAGATGAAACCATTTCGAATGCAAATTTCCCATTATTGGGCTATGATTTGCTTTTTCATAACATGCTGCTCTCAGTATTGATCTTGCATTATGCTTTATAGTTGTGGACAGGAATACCTGAAATCTAGAACTGTTTAGGACTTGGAAATTTTAGTTGGGTAAGAGTGGTAGTAATGTAGTATAACAAAAAAGGTGTTATACAGCACAAATGATGAAATACTAAATTAGTGGTGATTTCTTTGGGTGCATGTAATTGATACGCTGCTTTTATTGTTTGCTTTGTTTAATGGCACAGACACAAATTACTAGTACTTCTGCATTTATATGCATGTAGTCCTGCATTTGCATTAAAATAGTAGTTCTTTCAAGCAGTTACCATGTGTGACCATTGATTATTGGTGCAGGCGTCATCCTATTCCAACCAAAGAAATGCTTGAGCCTTTGCTGCGTACAGCAGTTGCTGTTGGTCTCCATTTGGATGTTTCATCATCGAAAGCACTTGCTGATTCACTTGATCATGCCATAGTAAGCTTTTTTTTTATCTAAAAATATAAATGAAATATATCTTCGCTGTTTTTTATTCTGTTATCATCATCACTAGACCTGTTACCGGGCTGGGCTTTGGGCCCAACTTTACACTGTTTTGGTCTCGGGCTTCGGGCTAGACCCATTCAAATTTTGGCAAAAGCCAAGCCTGAGGCTGGCCCATGAACAGGTCTTTATCACTATGTAGTAGTAACAGTTTCCTCAAGGAAAAAAATGAGAAGATTTAAATCAAATATGCATCAGTTACATTTGAGAGGCTATACAATTAGTATAATGGTCTTTGGCATATTGTATGTATAAGTTGATGCTTCAGGTCTTCTGTGATTATTATATCTGGAAGTATCTGTGCTGAACTTACATTGATCCCAGATATTTGTTGTATTTCATTACTTGTATACATTTCTCTTATAGTGTTTGGTGCTTTTTCCTTGTCCTAGGAACAGATAAATTAGATTAGTCATCCTTGCCAAAGATATGTAAACTTAATTACTTGAAAAAACAAAATGTGACAGGGTGATGATCCATACTTTAACAAGCTGATCCGGATATTGGCGACTAGATGCATGACCCAGGTAATAAATGCTAATTAATGAATCAAAGTTTAGTACAATTTTGTTGTTGTTTCGCCATGAGGAGGTTTTTATTATGTTATTTTGTTCTAATTACATAATTAGGCAGTTTACTTCTCTAGTGGGGACCTCACTCCTCCAGAGTTCCATCACTATGGGTTGGCAGCACCTCTCTATACTCACTTCACATCTCCCATACGTAGATACCCAGGTTAGTGAGAACTGAAATTAAATGTTGCCTTTTGAGTGTTATTGAAAATTTTTCTTGCAGATGTCATTATGCACCTCGTAAGTATCAATGTTTGGTTGCAACCTCTTTCTTGCAGATGTCATTGTGCACCGGTTGCTTGCTGCAGCCTTGGGGATATACAGACTTCCACCAATATTCCAAGACAGACCTCAGCTAACCAGTATTGCCGATAGTAAGGGCATATAAGTTTCTTTAAATTTCATCATCGATATTACTTGGCAATGGAATGCCATTTCCTTTGCTCTCTCTCTCTCTCTCTCTCTCTCTGTTACTAAGTCCATAAATTATTTTGAATTATATGGAAGCTACTAATCCTAAGTCCTCTTTCAGATTTGAATTATCGACATAGAAATGCCCAGATGGCCAGCCGGGCATCGGTAGAGCTCCACACGCTTGTCTATTTCAGGAAAAGGTATACATTTCTGTTACTTTCATATTTAACTATCCTTTTCTGTCTTTTTCAATATTTAACCTTTTTGTAACCTCCTTTCCTTCTTACAGGCCTACAGACACTGAAGCCAGAATAGTGAAGATACGATCGAATGGTTTTATTGTTTTTGTACCCAAGTATACATTTTATCCTTTTGTTCTATATTTTATAGTGGAAATCTAGATTTAAATGGAGTTTTGAATTTTTTTCTAAAACATTATTTGCTCAAACTGAAAAAGATTCAAGAAATTGGTGTTAATGTGTGTTCGTGAGGGCAGTTATGTGATTCCTATCAGTTCTTCGTTCTTTAATGATGTGATTTGTCTAGCTGTACATAACTGCATATTATACTCTCTTATCAAGATTGTACCTATTTCTGGACAGCATATGCATATCTACCAGAAAAAGACGAACTTGATTGGAACCTATAGTCATCAAATAAGAGGGTCTCCCCCTTTCTTGTTAGGAGTGGCATCTTTTTTTTCTTTTTTTCCTTGATTGTTTAAAATTGATGCAATCAATCAATCTTGTTGGTTGAGTAATCCAATGGCATCAGTTTTTGGCACAGAAAATCCACTAGATGAAGACTGCATATTGGATTTTTTTGGATTATTAGAAGTAATAGATTACGTGGCATATCTGGTGGTATTTTAGTAATGCTGCTTAGAGATACCTAATGCATGCCCATTATATGTTTTGCAGGTATGGTATTGAAGGTCCTGTATATTTGACTGCAAGAGGTGAGAAGGGAGGAGGGGAATGGTTCGTTGATGAGGAGCACCAGAAAGTGAAGAAGACGGATGGTAGCATCATTTACAGTGTTCTACAGACAGTGAGGATTCACCTGGAGGTTGTAGAACCCCAACCAAATCGGCCAAAGCTTCAGCTCACCCTTATTTAGGAGGTATGCAATTTTATGCACTATTGCCTCCTGAATTATTTTTAATGGGGGAACAGTAATTTATTGGTGGGTGGATATTCTACTGAAGCCATAAGTATTGGTGTGAAATACCTTAAACCCCCTTGTTCAGATATGTGATGTGCAAGGATTGTAATTTATTTCTTGTATATTAGTATCTAGCTTCTTGAGAGCCACCTTGTCATTATTGATGTTTGACCTCTGTACTCTCGCTTCTTCTATTATGAAAAACTTGTGCATCTTCTGTTTGAGCCCCTTTTTAAGTGCAGAATTAGAAATCATTATATTTTATACATAATGGTCTAAATTCAGAAGGCTGGATATTGATAAAAAAGCTGGAACCAGAAGCCATGAACCATAACTTCCCTATGCCATCCTATGCCTTGTCTAACATTGACAAATTGGAATGTTTCTCTACTAGAGGTGCTTTATTCTGGATTTGAGCTTGGAAAAGGTTGCCAGGGCTAGGGCTCCAAATATTCTCTTTTTCTGCATGCTAATTATTCAATTAAGGTGATTCAAATTCAATCCATTTAGCTAATCTATCCTTTACGATATTTTGCTTATATCTATATAAAATTATTATTTATCTATTAGTAAAGTTCTGAGTAATTTATCAAACAAAAAGCTGGTATTCATAGATTCAAAAGAAAAAAAAAAAAAAACTCCACTTGGCATCTCTCCCAAAGTGGAGGCGGGGGTTCTGCATAACAGCATAACTACAGGTACTCCATGGTGTGGCCAGTGGAACTCTCGTGCACCCTGCTCATTCCGCACCCCTGATTCCCTGTAATGTATAGTAAGAAAAAGGAGATTCAAATCTCATGGAAGCTATGTTCATGTCATTCTACTTTTGTATATCCATCCAATTTGAAAATTCTATGGAAATTTGCAAGTTTCTGAGTTGTGGAATGCTTGTCCTATATGCTTGGGATGGGCCGTTGTCTTGTTGCTGCCAAATGTCACCACCTTGATAGGGACCATGTGATGGGCCGCAAAGGTCGAACAGGGTACCCATGCATAACCCAAGGTACGTGGACTGAAAATGTTCATGCATGGCCCATGCAAAACCAGCCCATCATGCATGGCCCATGCAACGGCCCAGTAGAGCAGGATTCAGTCAAGCCACAAGAATCGGTCAAGCGGTTAGTTGTTGATTGTTAGGTAGTCTTAAGCATCTTGTTAGCTAGTCTTAAGCAAGAATGAGTCAAATAAGTTATTTGTTATTTCTGTTAAATTGTTAGTATGAGAAGGCATAGGGATCGACCATGTAGTTAGAAGGCTAATCCCTTACTTTAAGGCTAATCCCTTACTTTAAGGCTATCTCAGTGGTAGGAAGTTAAGAAGCTTTTGTATTTAAACACCACCCTACCACTTGGATGGGGCAGTGGAAAGTTAATAAACTCTTGTGGTTTCATTCTCGCCCTAAGTAGAATACTCTATCTTTCTCTAGTTTTGATTGGGACCTATCATTGGTATCAGAGCTAGGCACCATGGCAACCAACAAATAAAGAATTGAGAGTTTGGAAGTTGGGCTTGGAGGACTCCAAGCAAGTTTGAGTAGGCTCGAGTTAGGGGTTAATGACAAGTTACACCAACTCGAGGCAGCCATTAGTAAGATGTCCGAAGCATTGTTGACCCAGCAATAACCATCTCTGAGCCACGCTAATGGATGCAGCAGACAATCCTCCTTCAGACCTTCTCGTGACAACTCAGAAGGAGGCCGACCCATGTTTTCCTCAAAACTAGCCAAGCTCGAGTTTTCCAAGTATTCCGGTGATACCCCAACCGAATGATTCGCTCGTGTTGATCAATTCTTCGAATACCAGCACACCGAGGAACCACAGAAAGTCTTGCTCGCCTCATTCCATTTGGATGGAGAGGCAAACCAATGGTGGCAATGGTTACGTCGAGCGTATCACGAAGACGGGAAGGAGGTAACATGGAAGATTTTTGTAGATGAGCTTTGGGCTCGTTTTGGCCCAACTAACTATGAAGACTTCGATGAGTCGTTATAAAAAATACGACAAACGGGGTCTCTGTGGGAATAGCAGAAGGAGTTCGAAAGATTGGGCAACAGGGTGCACGGATGGACACAAAAGGCGTTGGTGGGCATGTTCGTGGGCGGTCTCAAAATGGACATAGTCGATGGAATTTAGATGTTCAAACCGAGATCCTTGAAAGAAGCCATCAGCCTGACGCGCATGAAGGATGAACAGTTGCATCGTCATGAGAAGACTCTGCGTTCAACCACCAAAGCCACCGACGACTCTTTCCCGACAAGGACAAAGACAACTCTACCATTGAAATGCCTTTCTTGGACAGAAATGCAGAGGAGGCGTGTCCAAGGTTTATGTTTCAACTACGACGAGAGATTTTGGCCCGGACATAAATGCAAGGGGCCGTAGCTGCTACTACTCGCCGGAGACTGTATCGACGATGAACTAGAGGATGACGACCAAAGCTTCACCGACACGCGCAAGGAGCTGGAAATCTCACTCCATGCCCTTACGGGATGGTCGACGGCTAGAACCATGCGTGTCACGGCCAAGGTCGGATCTCACGACCTGATTGTTCTCATTGATGGTAGATCCACCCACAATTTCATCAATGACCGAATTGCCGAACTGCTGCACTTACCGGTCGTACCTACCGAGCCCTTCAATGTCAAAGTCGCGAATGGTGAACCCCTTCGATGCCGTGGAAGATTTGAAAATGTGCACGTTTTACTACAAGGTATCCCGTTCACCTTAACACTTTACTCTTTACCACTGATTGGGTTGGACATGGTACTAGGAATCCATTGGCTCGAGCAACTAGGCACAGTGGTGTGTGATTGGAAGAAGATGACGATGGAGTTTGATTGGGCCAACCAACACCAGCTGTTGAAGGGGGTTGACAATCAACCAATTCAACCTGCATCATTCAAAGCACATTCAAGGGAGATCAAGCAGGGGCATTCGCTATTTACCGTCTGTCTCCACGCAACCACGGAAGAAGCACCACCCCAACTACACCTGGATATACAGCAATTACTGGCCGAATTCAAAGATCTCTACCAAGAGCCCACATAGCTGCCACCACGTAGAGAGATCGACCACCGCATCAATCTCAAAGAAGGAACGGAACCCGTCAATGTCCGCCCGTACAAGTATGCCTACTTCCAAAAAGCTGAAATAGAAAAACAAATACAAGACATGTTAAGGTTGGGGCTAATGCGATCTAGCACAAGTCCTTTTTCTTCCCTTGTTTTGCTAGTGAAAAAAAAGGATGGGACTTGGCGCTTTTGTACCGATTACCGGGAACTCAATGCCGTGACCGTTAAGGATCGATTTCCTATCCCAACGGTTGACGACATGCTAGATGAGCTTCATGGAGCTTCTTTCTTTACTAAACTTGATTTATGATCCGGATACCATCAGGTACGGATCCACCCGCGGGACATTCACCAAACGGCATTTCGCACACACAATGGTCACAATGAGTACTTGGTTATGCCCTTTGGCTTGTGTAATGCACCTTCCACCTTTCAGGCTATTATGAATTCTGTCTTCCGCCCCTACCTCCGAAAGTTTGTGCTAGTTTTCTTTGATGATATTCTTATTTATAGTCCCAACTGGAGCATGCATCTTGAACATATTAAAACAACTTTTGAGGTTTTAAGGCATCACCAATTTTTTATCAAGTTTAGTAAATGTATATTTGGCCAGCCAGAGGTGGAGTATCTGGGTCACATTGTCACTTCCCAAGGGGTCAAGGTAGACCAAGGGAAAATTGAGGCTATGCTTAAATGGCCTCAACCCACTCGTATTACTGACTTGTGTGGCTTCTTAGGCCTTACAAGGTATTACAGGAAGTTCGTCCGCAACTATGGGATCATAGCTCGACCCCTCACTAATCTTCTAAAGAAGGGTGAATTCAGATGGACCACCGAAGCCCAAGAAGCATTTACAGCCTTAAAAAAGGCAATGACCACGACTCCCACACTAGCAATGCCTAATTTTGAGGAGCCTTTTACCATTGAGTCAGATGCTTCCGGAGCGGGAATTGGAGCAGTATTGACGCAATAAGGACGACCCATTGCATTCATGAGCCGAGCTCTAGGCGTCAACAAACAAAGTTGGTCCACATATGCCAAAGAAATGCTTGCCATTGTCCAGGCAATACGGACATGGCGACCTTACCTGTTGGGCCGCAAGTTTTACGTCCAGACCGATCAGCGCAGCCTCAAGTATCTATTGGAGCAACTCATTGGGACACCAGAACAACAGAAATGGGTATCCAAACTGCTCGGGTACGACTATGAAATCATTTACAAGCCTGGACGAGAAAACTCTGTTGCAGATGCACTATCTAGAGTCTTGGGCAGTCCTAGCCTTAATACCCTTTATGTGCCTCAAACATCTTTGTGGGACACCATCAAGAAAGAAGCAAGCACCCACCCCTACATGATCCGCATCAGCAAGCTGGCAATGGAGAATCCTGAATCTCCCTACACATGGAAAAATGGACTGGTATGTTACAAAAACCGGGTCGTGATCCCTCCTCGGTCCCACCTCGTCCCTATCCTCTTACAGGAGTTCCATGATTCCCCCTATGGTGGACATTCTGGGGTACTACGCACATACAAGCGTATGGCACAACAGTTCTATTGGCCCTCCATGTACAAAGATATTCAACAATATGTAGCTTCTTGCGCCATTTGCCAAAAAAACAAGGCGGGCACTCTATCCCGGGATTGCTACAGCCATTACCCGTTCCCTGCCAAGTATGGGACGACATTACCATGGACTTTATAGGACTATCACCCTCCAAAGGCAAAACCACTATTTTTGTGGTAGTAGACCGTCTCACTAAATCAGTTCATTTCTTGACCTTACCACACCCCTATACGACGAAATTAGTAGCCGAAAGGTTTGTAGAAGGAATTGTGAAGCTGCATGGTATGCCAAAGACGATAGTTAGTGACAAAGATCCTATCTTCATCAGCCACTTTTGGAGGGAATTCTTTAAGATGTCTGGTACCAAATTGCAGATGAGCTCCGCGTATCATCCCTAGACTAATGGGCAGTCCGAAGTGGTCAACCGTTGTTTAGAGCAGTATCTTTGTTGCTTTGTTTTTCAGCAACCTCGGAAGTGGAGCTCCTTCCTCCTATGGGTAGAATTTTGGTACAACACCACCTATCATTCCTCTATCGGAATGACGCCCTTTCAAGCACTTTATGGAAGACCACCACCTCGTATTCCCAATTACCAAGGTGGAACATCCCCAGTAGAAGAGGTAGATCAAGCCATGCTTTCTTGCGATGCCATTTTGCAGCAACTCAAAATAAACCTGCATGCGGCAATTAACCGCATGACCCAAATGGTTAACGCTAAAAGAAGAGACATCGAGTTCCAAGTGGGCGATCTGGTCTTTCTCAAGCTCCACCCATACCGACAGCAGACGGTTCATAGGCGGGCCTATCACAAACTGGCCAATCGCTATTATGGGTCGTACCAAGTGGAGGAACGAATAGGCAAGGTGGCCTATAAACTGCAACTTCCTGAGGGCTCGCGCATCCATCCAGTTTTCCACGTCTCCCTACTCAAAAGACAGGTGGGCGACACCATTGCCACTAGCACTGAATTACCACCCATAAACGAGGAGGGAGAACTTATCACTGAGCCGACAACTATTCTAGATACCCGCTGGGTGAAGAAAGGATCCACCTTCGTGGAGGAAAGCCTCATCCAATGGAAGAACCTTCCTAGCGAAGATGCCACATGGGAAAATTCCCAAGAGTTGCGCGAGAAGTACATAAATCTGGACCTTGAGGACAAGGCCCATCTTCAGGATGGGGGCAATGATGGGCCACGAAGGTCGAACAGGGTACCCACACGTAACCCAAGGTACGTAGACTGAAAATGTTCATGCATGGCCCATGCAAAACCAGCCCATCATGCATGGCCCATGCAACGGCCCAGTAGAGCAGGATTCGGTCAAGCCACAAGAATCGGTCAAGCAGTTAGTTGTTGATTGTTAGCTAGTCTTAAGCATGTTGTTAGCTAGTCTTAAGCAAGAATGAGTCAAATAAGTTATTTGTTATTTCTATTAAATTGTTAGTATGAAAAGGCGTATGAAAAGGCATAGGGATCGGCCATCTAGTTAGAAGGCTAATTCCTTACTTTAAGGTTATCTCAGAGGTAGGAAGTTAAGAAGTTTTTGTATTTAAACACCACCCCACCACTTGGATGGGGCAGTGGAAAGTTAATAAACTCTTGTGGTCTCATTCTCGCCTTAAGCAGAATATTCTATCTTTCTCTAGCTTTGACTAGGACCTATCACCATGAAGTTCTTAACAAGGTTCAAAACAACGGCATTGCAAAATCGGTAAAGTTGAAAATGGATACATTGCTATACGCTTTGGACATGGTGGAAAGATTTGGATATGTATTGGAACATCAAGAAAACTCATAAATACTATGAATAAATTAATAGGATTGAAATAAGTCAATAACTCAATGTACAAGTTATAAATGCATAATACGCCATACTATGCATTTACTGTGTATGTAATGAAACATATTACAATAAAAATATTGGAATTAGAAGGTGCAACATGGGCTGGTTGGGACGGGTCAATTCAGGCCCAGTCCTAAGACAAAACCTTAATCTCAGTCATGGCCCAACTTCAGGTCAAGTCCAAGTTTAGTGATTCAGTTTCAGCTCAAGCATATCCAATTAGGGGTGTCAACGGACTGGTTTTGGATTGGATTCCGTTCAGATCAAAATCCATTTGGATAGATTGGACGGACCAATAAGACGTATTGAATTTGGGTGGACTGGACGGACCAATATAAAATATTGGATTGGACCTGGTCCGTTCATAATGAATTTATATTGGATTGAGCCAATATCTGGTCCATTGATAGAAGATAAGAACATGGGTGTCAATGGACCAGGTTTCAGTTGAAACCAATCTAAATTAACATGAATTTGAACAGATTGGGCAGTCTCTGGACGGGTCCAAAATGGTCCAAAATATTCACTGGACTGGATTGGACCAGGTCTACTCACATTGGACTAGACCGGATTGGACCAAATCCACTCCAATTGACACCCCCTATATCCAATACAACTAGGGTTGGATTCGGGCTGAGGCCAGCTTGATCAGGTTGGTTGGGCCTTAAGATACTTCTTGAATATGTTTTATACATTTACCTTTGATTACTTTTGGCATAAAAAAAATCTTTTATTGGGCCTTGTAGTCTAATTTAAGAGTAAAATGGAATGAAAATATGCACAAATGTCATAAATAAATGCTTATATGCATATTTTCTACATATATAATTATACTTTTTTATATAAATAAAATGCATGGCACTTGTGTGTGTGTTCAATTGGATGGGTCTGAGCTTAAATTAATAATGTACGTGCTTTTGATAACTAAATATAGTTTGGGGTCTATAAATATGTAATATATATAAACGTGTTATAAATGCACAATGTGCAGATCTCTCTCTCTTTCTCATATATATATACCCTTGGTTGGTTCTATGTAGATGCAACAATGTCGACACAATGTTGAGTGAGTGGGCTTGGGTCAGGCTGTGGCTACCTAATGCCTCAACCCAAAACCAACCCAAATTTAGCTTAGGCCTGACTTTTCTTGCCTAGGCCCAGCTTAGAGATCAATTCCTACAAAAAGCTCGGGATGGGTGGGATCTGGGTCAGGCTTAAGTGAGACCCGTCTAAGTTGCAGCCTATAATGACTCAACCAAAAGTCTAGGATATGTACTTGAGTTTTTTTTTACAAGTGATTAAATTAATAATTATAATAATATGTTATTTACCTGAAAATAAACTATATCCATGAAAATGTAAATGATCCACAAATGCATGCAACCACTATATTGTACATATTAAATCAATTAATTTATATTTTATTCTATATACTAACAAAAATCAAAATAAAAAAAATCAATTTAATCTAAAATTCTTAACATGATAACTAATCGCTATACAAATTCTTACAAATTGTTAAAAACAAAGCAAGTTAATTTTGGAAATGGATATATAGATGATACCAACCAGCATGTATGGAACGGATGGGCACGAATATATTCCACTAGTATCATATGAATATGATATGCCTCATGTCGGACATATTGTGCTGACATTTTAAACTTGTTTCTTGGTAAGTGTTTCCTTCTGTTGGATACTGATGTCTGAAACAGCCAAGCTCTTGTACTTAGTGATAAATCAATAATGTAAATCTTATATTCAATCTAATCTGATGGTTTTACAAAGATCAATCAGAATTCAAATCCGTTAAGGATGTCAAATATCTGAATTTGATCAGGTTTAATTTGAGTACCAAACGGTTTGTAAAATTTAACAAATTATTAACAAGAAAAAAGAAATAAAACAATCTATACAAAGAAAAACAGAAAACACAAGCATTTTTCAATAATATATATACGAAATAATTCGAATCTGATCCAATTTGAAATCCAATAGGAGATATTTGAATCATGATCCGGTCCATTTACACCCCTACTTGCATTTGCTCCCTCTTATCTTCTGACGTTTGTGAGACCAAAAACACTTGGCTAGTCTAGGTGGTCCAGTCTAAGTATGTGGACAAGTAGAGTAAAGAAGTAAACGATTATGGGGTTGGGGGCTTGGCAGGTTCATAAGTGGCTCTCTACCAGGCTCAGGTTGCTTTCAAGTTGTCAATTGTGATATAGAAAAGCAGGGTTATGAGTGCTCGATAATTAAAATGCCAGCAAGTCCAGTCCGGAATTGGGTGCCACACCTTACTCCCTAGTCCCTTTCTGTGGTCCGTCCACCGTCGCCCATGTCCGTGGGCATGGTTTAACTCGAAAGACATGAATGTAGAGTTAGTTACTTGTTTGGAATAACACGATCACGTTGGGAATCTGGGAATAATGGCAATTAAAACAAAATAGCTGGAGATGATGATATGTAGAATTTATAAGGACCGTTTTGACTGTATTATTCCTTACCCCATCAGGGTTGTAATTTGGGCGGGCTTGGGTTGGACATTTGTCAAAATTTGAATGGATTAAACCGAAGGCCCAAGCCCAAAACAGTGCAAAATGCTAATTCAGGCCAACTCGAGTTGCACCCATTGTCCAAATAGCCAATGATGATAGTTGTAAGTTGTAACCTTAAGAATGAATTGACTGTTAAGTTTGTGGTTGCTACTTGCTTCCATGTTTCAACTGGATGGTTGAAATATTTTACTTCACTGTCTGGCGACATTATTGATGGTTTTGGCATCAATAATTCATGGGCTTTCTTTGTTGTCACATGCCAACAAAATTCTAATTATAATTTTTTTCTCAAAAGTGACCGTTTGCGTTTAATCGAAATTAAGTCACATAATCAACAATCACACATTAGTTTGAAAGAAAAAGAAAGCCAACTTAATTGTTTCAAACCGAATTTCAGATGCTTGTAATAAAAAAAATATTGAAGGTAACACTACTAAGTATGCATACAAAACTCTTAGCCAACTTTCCAATGACTGGAATGGACAACAATAATAAAAAAATAAAAATAAAGAAAGTGCAACAAGAAAAAAAGAAGTATAAATATAGAAAAATATTATATGGATATATTTAATTGATGGAAGAGAAGAACCCTAGACGGCTTTTCAAGTCAGGATCCACATGTAGACGGTGGACCAAACTGTAAGGGCGAGTGCTGCAACCAAGTAGGTCCACAGGTAAAGGACTGAGCATTCTTCTTGACCCACATCAAACAGCTGTGTCATTGTACCTACATGGTAGTAAACATGATCATCACCCTTGATTAATAATAAATATGCATGAGCTTTACGATGGAATGGACTGAAATCTGAATTGATGAACCGTGGGTATCATTCTTTCTGTTGATGAAAATTTCAACTGCACAATATCACCATCATGTTCAAGGAAAAGAGAAACGTACCGATATTCATGGCTGGTGGCAGAGTAAATTGAACCATTAGCACGTATCCGAACAGTGGGTCTGAGGGGAGCAAGCCAAGTTTACCAGCTGCTATAACTACTCCGATACCGATGGTTGGGAGAATCACATACCGCACAAAAATGACACCAAGGATGACCAGCGGCTTTAGCCTTGCCGAGCGCAAACCTGTTTAGGGTTTGGATCATTCAGTAAGAACAAAAAAGGTTGAAATTTCAGTACTCAACATGAGGAGAGCTACAGATTTCTTTATTTCTTTACCTTGGGTGAGGTTGCCCCCGAGTATCAGGGTAATGCATGGTATTGTGCCATCCCTACACAAAGTGACCAGTTTTTGGTGAGACTGAATTTGATTGTTAAATGAAAAGGAAAACCAGTGCTAATCGGCAAGTAGGAGGACATATAAGTTCTTCAGGTTGCATACCCTAGTAGTTTGATCGAGTCCTGGATTACTCTCAGAGGAGCACTTTCGCCGATAAGAAGATTCTTCAACCAAGGCGTTGCTCCGAAGATGAATCCCAAGATCTGGTAGGAAATGCAACAGCGCAAGGATGTTTCTTTCTTTAGTCTTTATTCTTTAAGAAATGGGGTCAGCATTAATAAACTGCAGAAACACGTAATAATAATATAATCTAGAAATGAACTTACTGCGGCAATGGTGGGAGGTGTCATTAACTCTTCCAGAATCTGGTGAAGAGTCTCTTCTACTTTTCCCCAGAGTGCCATCTTTCCTTCTCCTGCTCTCTCAATTGCTATCTGTTATACAGTGTAGAGTGTGATTATTCTAAATTCTGGTATGAAATCCCCAATGCTGACCTTCATGATCAAACCCAAGCATCTTTCTATTCGCTTTGTACCCTACTAAAGGAAATGTGAAACTGTGGATGTGGATCACTTACAACAACTTTATTCTCCGTATCCTCATCAACGGGCTTCGCTGGTGGGACTAGTACTACTACAGCTTTTTCTTGATCATCTGTTTTGAGAAGGTGGGTTTCACCAGTGGCATCTGGATCTGTGTTTGGTACCTTCGGAATTGACTGAGCTGCTTGAAGTGCTCTGTACTTTATTCCCGAAGTTCGTATAAGATGGTAAGTGTATGACCAGATGAAGAAACCTCCAAGCTGTTTGACATTTTAAGTAGAACGATGAGAGTGTTAGACTGAAAAAAACTGAAACTGAATTTCAAAATTATGCATGGCGTACTATGATTTTGAAAGCTCATCAGTCATGAAACAAGCTAGGTTGATTGAGTATTTGAGTTACAGAATCCAGTTGATTCCCTACCACTACCAGCAAGTATAAAAGATGTCCAAAATAGAAGTCGAACGTAGATAGAACAGGGAATATTGCAGAAAAAGGGACATGGGTTACTTTACCGCCATAGACATAGATGCATAGGACAGCCCAACAGAGCCGCACACATTATGATCACCAAATGGGCTACCATCTTCGTTGCATATTGCAGGGACGACTATCAACAGAAGGTTTCCCAAGTTTCCTAGTGAATGAATATATAGAAAAAGAAAATGTTGAGTGCAAACTATATACAGCTCAAAACACATTTAATTTGCTGGGTACGTACATATGCGTAGGTGCTAGTGACGCTCAAAACTACAATTACCTGCTGAACATGTAGCAATGACCAAGCCTTCTAGATATGGCTCAGGTTTCAGTATTTTTACAAGAATCCATCCAAGAATTCCTCCAATTAAGAAGGTTAGCCCAATGTTAACTGGCATAAACCACCTAACCAGAAGATCAAAAAAGTGGGAAGAAAAAGATAAGTACAACTAGACATTTTGTAAAGGTATATTACGTATACATCTGTAATGTTATACGCATAGCTTACCATGAAATAATGTCTTGGAATGTGACAGTCTTAGCTAGACATGCAAACATGAGAGATGGAGTGAAGGTGATGAACACTATCTGCATTAATTGGAGGAAAGTTATCATCAGATTGGAGAATATGATGAAATTCCATTGTCATCTACTCATCTCATCAGTAATAGCTAATGGGTATGTCTTGGTACCTTGTTCATGTGTCGCCGAGCATCTGCATTGAGTAGATTACAGTAGTTGGTTGCCATGAAAGCCCCCAGAATACTAATGAGGAGAACCTGCAATACTGGCATGGAAGCCACTTGGAAAAGTGTCCAGAAACCCATCTTTCTTTTCTGTCTTCTTATAAACTTATCTTTGTTGGCTCTGTTTAGATGGTTTTGGCTTCTTTGCTAATGCAATGTGTTGCAAGTACCCTGTTAGAAAATTCTGGCACAACCAAATTAATTAAGTTGTAGTCATTGATCATATATAATCTAGATTCAAGGAGAACTAACAGACTATATTATAAGCAAGGTAAAAATAGTATTACTTTTGAAAACCGAGTATTTGGGCTGGACTCATGAACGTTTGGATCCATGGTTTTTAAAACCCAACCGGCAAGGGCCCGGTTATCGGGTCGAATGGTCCGATCGTTTGAACCAAACACTTGGACCATTCTGACAAAAAAAATAAAAAAACGGTCAAAACCGTTTGAATAGTTTGAACGGTTAATCGCCCGATTCAACGGTTCGCTGATCAAAATCAATGGTTTTGGGGAAAAATCCAGTTTTTAGGAAAAAACCAGTCACCTGATCTGATTTTTCTGATCTGACCGTCCGGTCCGATCCGGTTTTGAAAACCATATTTGGACCCATCAACAAATGTCCCAACCCGGTCAGAATTCCTTTCGTGGACGGTTAATAAAGGACAAATTTAATTTATTGATATCAAGAAAAGGATCCCTTCATGGCCTGGGAGTCTAGGTCAAAGTGGCATACTTTTGGGTTGGGAGTCTAGCCTGGTCTCCACTCTCCTGCAAGCTCAAGTACACAAACGTCGCTGTAGGTTCAAGGCGGGGCACCCATTTTTCATTGGATAACCACTCTCCTGCAAGCCCGATTCAATCTAGTTCACTCCCCACCACACATTAAAAAAAGAAAGAGAGAGAGAGAGGCACTTGCCTTGTAGTTGAAGTATACATTAGGACCCAGCCAGGGCCCACCTCATTAATTTCTAATTGCCTTGTTGGCATTTCGAAAATGATTTCTTTGTATTGTTTCACGCCAGTTACTCTATTATTGTTGGACCATTTTGTTTAAAAAATTATAAATTTGAAAATTCCACACATTTCTAATTAATTACTCTATTATTGATGAGAAAAATCAAACTTGTTAGCTAAGCCGGTAAAGCATGTGAGATGTGACTCATCTCATCGGCCTCTGACGCAAATTGATGAACTAAAGTTAAAAAGCCATTAATGCGACACAGTTATTATTAATGAGCCAAAATCCAAACCCGCCAATCCCTACTGCTGCGAAATCCTCAACTTTTACAGTTTTCATCATTGTTTTGTAAATCTTGATTGTTGGACTGCCGATTTCTGATCTTTGTTTCTACTTTTTTGGTAATTGAAGAGCGAGGTTCTACAAAAAATAGCTCACAAATGTTGATAATAGCTTTCTATTAGAGTATTTCTGTTTTCTGTGTATATCATATATGTTTGAAGTATTATAAAGCTCTGCAAATGTGGAGATTTGAGGTTAATTGATTTTGGTGTTTTTGAACGATTTTTTATTGTGTTATAATTTTTTTGTTTTATTTTACTTCCTTTTTTTTCCTTGCTAGTTATGGTATCGGAATGAAAAGGACTTCTCATGGAAACACCATTGAAATGAGAAACATCTCACAGAAGACAACTGAAGGAAACGTTGATCAGCAACTGAAATAAAAACCAGTGATCGAACGAAGTTTTTCATGATGATGGTGATGAGAAATGAGATGTAGATACCGAAATTTTAATTTCCCTCGGCAGAAATCCAAATATAAACAATATCTATATATGTATATGGTCAACAACGTCAAATCTATAAACCAGTGAGACGGGTGACAAACCTGCAACGGCGAGTCCGAGAGGACCTCAAAATCAGGCCCGAAAAACGGAAAATGAGGACAAATAATGGCGGAAGCGATCGCGCGTAGAACGCAGAGAAATGCAACTGGAATCGTCAGGCTCTTAATCGAGCGAGCGAGCGAGCGAGCGAGAGAGAGAGAGAGAGAGAATAGTTTAATTTAATTTGTTTCGTTCCTCGGCATTTCAGTCAGGTATCAGGTTTCAGGTGTATATATATATCGTAAGAGTGATAGAGGCGATAGTCGTCATCTCATCAGTCATCACCGTTGCCAGTAGCCACTATAGGTTAATTTTTTTTATAAGAAACGATGCGTACGTAGGGCTAGAATCGGGAATCAGCCTTTAATTTGATGAGAGAGAAAGTAGCATCTAATGTTATAAGAGTTCGGATAAGCTACCAACAACGTCCCTATCAGCCGTACATCGAGAACATCTCCGAATGTGCGGCTGCATTGGGCGGTTGAGGCAATGTTGGGACCGTTCGTTGGTAGCAGATCACTAACCAGTATAGTATCGACGCAGAACAACCCATCGGCGTGTTTCTTTCCAACGATAATTGAGCATCATGAAACGGGAAATGATTGAGAATAATTGAGGATGTAAAATGGCGGTATTAACCTGCAGACAAGACAGATCAGCTTGCAGAGATGTTGTGATATTAAGCATGTGACTGTGTGATTTGTATGAGATTGGATCCGCTCACCCAATCACCTAACTGCCTTCTTTCTTTCTTTTATCTTCTTACACGTAACCAATGATAACGCCCCAAGTCGGTCATTAAATGCATGGGGCCCACAGCTACTCATCACTTTCTCACAGCTGTTTTAAATTAATCCGGATTCGATTAATATCGCTAATTGGTAATTGGTGGGTGATTTGCTATTGCTGTCAATTGGTTGGTCTAACCAATGTAATCAAACCGACTGACCGATTATGTCAGTTACGGATTTGTGTTTTTTCCTGATTAATAATTGGGTTTGAACCGATTCTTACTGTTTTAAACCGACTATATAATTAATTTATATATATAATCTTCATTTTCTTTCCTTTTTTGGGTTAAAAAATCAGCAAGGAATGAATTCGAAGCTGGCTGGGTTGTCAAGGAATAACGTTAGCAGGGCACATCGGTAGAATGAATTCGAAGCTGCGCTGTGAAGGAATAACATTAGATTATAAGGAAAATTTTCACAAAAAAGAAAGGAAAATAAAAGATACGCGAATACTCACTCGTCTTGGTTTTGGTTCATATAATCATAAAAGCTAAATTTGAGTTTTATAATGTCAATTTAGGCCCGTTTGGTTTGTGGGAATAGGGGTTTGGAATCAGAATCAAAATCGGAATGGACTATTCTGATTCCAACTGTTTGATTGGATGGAATGGAAATCCCTGCTGGAATGACATTCCCTGTCCCTCCCTTGAGAATGAAATCCCATTCCTGGAAATTTCAATTCCTATTCCTATTCCTGTTTGAACCAAACAGATTATGAGAATGGACCATTCCAATTCTGATTCTGGAGGATTTCGATTCCGACTGCAAACTAAACGGATCCTTATTTCTTTACTCTTTACTTGTACAATGTACATGGCATATTCACGGAAAAAACTAATGAACATGGATTAGGGAGGCTAAAGAGTTAATAAATATGGATGGGAAACCAAAATATATAAAAAAATATCAATAAGATTGTAGGGATTTTTAATTGGCGTGCAAATGGATTAGATCGAATTCAAATCTGATCCTATTTTGTAAGATTCTAATATTCGGATCAGATCAGATAAAAAAACAGGATACAACATACATACACACACACACACACACACACATATATATATATATATATTATTTATAAATATACTTATAATGTATTTTTGTTGATTTGTAAAAAGACATGTATACCCCTATTTTTTTTCAAATATAAACGAAGAAAATGGTTGAAAAAAATGCTTCTATTTTTTTCTTTGTATAGGCTTTTTTTCTATTAATAATTTATTAAATTTTACGGACTTATGGGTAATTAAATTGGATAAAATCAAATTCGGATATCCGACATCCTTTACAAATTCAAATTTGGATTAATCTTTGTAAGATCCATTGGATCTTCGAAGATCAAATATAAGATTTATATTATCAAATCAAATTCAAATATACCCCAATTTGTTTGCATCCTTGATTTTTAAGGCATAGGAGGGCCTTGGCTCTCCTTGGTCACCCCCTAGCTTTGCCCTTGTGCCCTTTACACTAGTTCCTTATAAATGGTACAATCGGTGGACAACTTATGTTAATGGTAAGGTTTTAAAAAACAATCCAGAAATGGAACTACTTTGACCATTTGGTTTGTGGGCTCTACAGTCTAGGGGCCAAGCCATGATTTTTTTTCTTAAGGGGGCAAAAGGAATAAACACGAATTGGAGGGAGACAAAAGTTAATAAACATGGATGGGGAGATCGGGTTTGGATCAACCTTAATTGGATTTATTCTACTCCGTGTCAAACCCAATCTAACATAATGCCAATAATTTTGTGAAGTGTGAACAATTTTATAGATCGAACCAGTTTGGAAAGAGTATAATAAATACAAATCTGGTGATTTCAAAAACATATATTGTCCTTCTAAACTATAAAATTTGTTTTTTGTTTTAAAAACTATTATTTTAATGATTTCAAAAACATATATTGTTTTTTAAAACAAAATCACATGTGAAAACGAAAACAGTGATCAAGATCATTATTTTGTTTTTTCTGCTGCTATGCCAATTTCAAAAACAAGTGAAAATAAAACCATTCATGTTGTGAAACACCCTTTGTGCCTTTGAACCAATTTGATATATATATATATATATATATATATATATATATATATATATATATATATATATATATATATACAAACACTGCATACAATTCTGCAAATATGACCAACTTGGGCGGTCTCAGGTTGAGAATTTGTCAAAATTTCAATGGCCCCGCGCATCCAATGCTCTGTAACTTCATACTCAACTTGCAAATTGCAATCCCCCTAGTTTATTAAGCTTACGCCATAACCTGCATGCCTCCCTGCTATGAAGGGTTCATCCATTTTGATGATGTAAAAAGAATCCACAAGTAGATGTGTCAATTGGACTGGATTTGCTTCAATCCGATCTGGTCTAATATGAATTCATTACAGACGGATCAGGTCTAATTCAAACGGTTGAATATTCTAGACCATTTTGGATCAGTCCAATTCAATGTTCGGATCATCCAATTTATTCAAATTGGCTTCAACCCAAACCTGGTCCATTGACACTTGTATTCTTATCTTATATCAATGGATGGGATATTGGTTCAATCCGACCCAATCCTATATAAATCTATTACAGATGGACCATGTCCAATCCAATCCAATAAATACTTTGGCCTATGAAATCTAGACTGGTCCATACCAATTCAATATGTCTTATTGGTCCGTCCAATCTGTCCAAATTGATTTTGATTTGGATGAAAGTCAATCCAAAACCGGTTCATTGACACTCCTATCCATGAGAAGCCTTAGGGCCCGTTTGGCACATATTTTTGGGAAGATCTTCATACGTCTTTTGCATGAAGATCTGAACAGCCCGAAGTACGTTTGGCAGATGTGTGTCTTTTCACGTGAAATTAAAATGCGAAAAACTTTTTTTGGAGCTTCCCGAAATCAGCCCAAAATGAGTTTTTTTTATATCTTTTCACTGTTCTGTCTTTTAACGACTAGATCTTCTATATGTCAAACAGAAATAGACCGAAAATCAATCTTTCCAACTTGTAAACACATGCAGAAAAACATGCCAAACAAACCCTTAGAATTATCTACTTGAAGAGACGCAATATATTGAGTGAGTCCATTCAGCGCAAAGATAGCCCTTGTTCTTATTGGACTACAAGGATAACCCACTAACTTGATTGCGGATCTCATTTAGGGGTGTGTGGATTCCCAAAATTTGAGATTCAACCTAATCCAATGAAATTCGGATGTGACGTGATTCAAATCCATAAGTATCCAAATCAGTTATATATATATATATATATATATTCTTCACCCCTCTTTTTCCTTTTGATTGAAGATATTATTCAGATTTCTAACGCCTTTCTAAGTGCTAGAGTTCTGGTTTCTAACAGTATGTAGAATGCAAACGTGGCGACACATCTTTTGGCTCATTAGGTGCAGCCTTTTTCTACTAAGAATGGCAACGGACGAGGTGGGGCCAGTTTTTGTACATCCTGTCCCTGACCAAACACATGTACCCTGCCCGTACCTGATGATTTCTGCAAGGAATGGGGATTTTCAAATTTATTTTTATTTTCAATTCTATTTATATTATTTCTTTTCAATTTCATTGTTTTTTTAATTTAATTTTATTATTTTGTATATGAACAATTGTATACATTAAAATTGATGAGGAGTAAAACTTTAAGATTCTTTTTTTTTCAATTTATTGCCTATCTTTATTATTTTTATTTCAAATTTACATTCTTTTTCCTTTAAATTTTCATTCATAAAAAAAATCGTGCTGGCCCCCATGGGCTGCGGGTCCGGGCCTATGCTTGGCGTCCTCCCTGCTCTAGCGTGTCATACCAACACAGCACGAGCATTCACGCGGCATGACAAAAGTGGGTCGTGCCAACCCGGCACGGCCCACATCACACCCATAAACTTGCATTGGGGAGGTAACTCACTTAGTTTTATAAATGGAGTGTTTCGCACACACCAGACATCAATAAGTTCAATCATAATTTTCTTTGTTTTTTAATGAAAAAAAAAAACAGTACAATCAAAATGAATGAAATCAAATCACACAAGATCAATTAGGCTGTGTTTGGTTGCAGTACAAATTTATTTGTATTAGTACAAATGCATGAGAGTGCAAATGTAAAAAATGCAAATTCTTGTTTAATTTTGTTTTGGATTTTACTTTATTCTACTTCATGTCTTAATCTATCTCATTTATACTCTAATCAGATAATATAATTTAAAATTTAAAACAAAAATAGGTCAAAATTTACACTCAAATCATTTACACTGCCATGGCTTTACATCAGTGCAAATTTATTTACATTGCAGCCAAACACAGCCTTAATGTTTCAAACCAAGGTTCAAATGCTGTTTGGGACTAGAATAGCTTTCTATTGCATACTTATTTGAAAAAAAAAATGAATATAACACTACAGTATTGCTGATGCTATAAGTTACAATTGACTGAAATGGACAATAATTGTACGGGTTAGGGGCCTACTAGAAATAATGGATTTCATTTGCCAAAGCTTTTCAACTTAGGATCCACATGTAGATGGTGGACCAAACTGTAAGGGCGAGTGCTGCAATCAAGTAGGTCCACAGGTAAATGATGGAACATTCTTCTTGGCCCACATCAAACAGCTGTGCCATGGTACCTACATGTTAACAGTCGTTACCCTTAATTAATAAATATGAGCTTAGTTTACAATGGATTTAATATTGGGCTATTTAGTTAAACATCCCCTAAATTTCATGGATTTACTAAAGCTTATCCTATAATTTGTATTTTATTAAAATACTCCCTGTAATTATAATGTTAAATGATAGTGAAAAATGACAATGCCCATTTGAATAAATTTAATCTATTTAGTTTTTAATTTTATTTGATCACTTTTATATTCTATACAAACAAGCATTAGGGATACTTCTGAAAACAATTATGGAGTCTTTAAACATTTTCCTAGTTACCGTTTTTGAATGATTAGGGCTGTACTAGGATCAACTCAGTTCAATTGGATTTAATTTTGTCAACCAAACGAAAATAATCGGGTTGAGTTTTAAGGCCAACCGAAACCAACCAACAAACATCCATTTTGCTTCACATTGGATTTAATTAAAAGGAACCCAAAATCTAGGCTTTTCACATAAAAATGTCGATCTTAAATAAGTGGGCACATCTATTTATGCTCGGTTGCAGTGTCAATCTATTTGTAGTGTTAGTCTTCATTAATTATGTTGTCTCTTCATTCTCATATTGTTACTGTTTAGTGTCACTCATTTTTTACTTTTTATCAAGGGAAAATTTCTTAACAGTAGCCTTAACTTTGGGGGTTGTGTCAAAATAGATCACCAAATTTCAAAACGTGTCTATGCACTATCTTGAACTTTCAAATTCTATTTAATAGGTCTCTAGTTAGTTGACTGTTAGTCAATACTATTATGTGACATTAGGTATGCATTAAATAATTTAAAAATTATAAATTTATCTTTTATGATATTTTTCTAACCATTTTACCTATTTTGTCAGAATGTTAAAAGAAAGAAAGAGGAAGAAGGGTTATAAAATCAGGCAGGTGATCATCTGATTACAGTTGATCGTTGAACACGGGGAAGCTTGAATATGGGAGTAGTAGCTTCAATAGTTGATCAGTGTCCGATTTCATAATCCTTTTCCCCCTTTCCTTCTTCTAACACTCAGACAAAATGGGTAAAATTGTCATAAAAATATCACGTGATGGTATTGACTACCAGTCAACTAACGATAGGGACTTCTTAAACACAATTTAAAAGTTAAGTACTGCAGAGACACGCTTTAAGGTTAGGGGACCGACTTGACACAACCCTCAAAGTTTAAGGTACTATTCAAGAAATTTCCCTTTTATCAAATTGAATAGAGAGATACATGGCTGAAAAGACAAATAGGGAGAATAACAGTTGCCCAAGTGTCAAAAAAAGAAAAGAAAGAAAAGAAAAAGATAAAAGAAGACACAAATCAGCAGCGAAACACATATATGAAAGGGCATATCTATCTATCTACTCCATGGTTTTGAAAACTGGACCAAATCAGATGGTCAGACTGGTTGACTTGGGAACCAGTCAGGCAACTGGTTTTGTTTCACCCAAAAACTGTTAATGAGACAAAAACCAAAATTCAAAGTATCGACATAGGCCGATACGCCGATAGGGCGTACCGGTGCTTTTTTTATGTTTTATTTATTTTTTTTTTCAAAATCGATTCAAAGGGGTTGGTTTAAGTTCCGACTACCCTTTGAACCATGGTCTGACTCGATACAACCCCTGTAGGGGCGTATCAGGAAGCCAGCGGTACGATATGTATCGACTGATACGGGCCAATATTGGCCGATACATGTCGATACTTTGAACCTTACCAAAAACCATTGATTTGGTCAACAACCTGCTGACTTGGGCAGTCAAACTGTCGACCTAGACAATGGTTTTGGTCGTTTTTTTATTTTAATTATTTATTTTTTAAATCAGAATGAACCATCCATTTGAATCGGACAATCAGACCATTTGACCCAGTTACAAAAAGTAAAACCGCAACCAAATCGAATAATCAATTTTTGCCAACTTCCAAACCAAGAACGACCAAATCATTTTAAAAACCAACCATATCGGGTTACTAGTTTGATCCATATGATTAATTTACAATTTCTTATCAACATTACAAATGATAAAACAAATACTTCTTAGTAAAAGATCGGTAGGAGTGTTTTAGTAAATGATTAATGACCCTTTAATATGCACCAATCCATTCCTAACTAAAATAATAATAGAAACTTAGAAAGTTGGGACTTGACTCTTGAGATAGAAGACAACATACCGATACTCATGGCAGGAGGCAGAGTAAATTGTACCATTAGCGCGTATCGGAATAATGGGTCCGACGGGAGTAACCCAAATTTGCCAGCTGCTATAACTACGCCGATCCCGATGGCAGGGAGAATCATATACCGCACAAAAACGACAGCAATGATCACCAAGGGCTTTAATCTTGCCGAGCGCAAACCTGCTTAGGGTTTGGATTATTCAGTAAAAAAATGTTGAAATTTCAGTACTCAACATATGTTGAGAATTACAGATTTCTTTATTTCTTTACCTTTGGTAAGGTTACCCCCGATGATAAGGATACTGGAGGGTAGTGTCCCAGCCCTACACATAGTGACCAGTTTGAGTGAGAAATTAAATGAAAGATAAATAATTGCTCGGCAAGTAGGGAAAAATGTTTTAGAAACTGACCGAATCATTTTTGTCTTCTAGTCATGGGTCACTGGTATGTATGTAAATATATTTTATTAATAAATAATATATTATTATATTTGTTATTTTATATTTTTTAAATTAAATTTTTTTATTTATAAAAAAATATAATTTGAAGCTAAAAATGGGTTTTTTCATGATTATAGAATTCCTTTGGGACATATAGATCTCAAAAAGCTATCAAAACAAAAAAATCACCCCAATTAGACATATGAATACAAAGTTATGGTGTGCATGCATATTTAATGTACAACCCATGACCCAAACACCTAGTCATTGGGTTGACTTGAATGAGTCAACAGTTTGATGGCCTAGGTCATATGGTTTTTGACATGATCAACAGTTTTTAAACAATTTCTAGGCTTTAATAGAATCGGATCCAAAATTACAATCAATGACAATTTGAATGGTTCAACCAGCTGGGTTAATGGTGAATTGAAAATGCTGGTAGGAAGATAAGCTCTTCAGTTCCGCTACAACTCAAGATGGCAATTTCACAAGAATTTTTGGGTATCCAACCCATCTCGACCCTAATATGACTCGTTTATCAAAACCCCATAGGGTTTGGGATTATAAACCCATCTAATATATATAAAATTTGTGTGTGTGTGATATGATATAATATATAGTATAAAATAATTTATAATATTTAATATATTAAGAGAATTTTTTAAGTCAAGCTCCAATCCTTCAACCTTTATGTTTATTTGTTTACCCACTTACCCTTAAGGTTTACAATTAAGAACAAGAGCCCAAGACCTATTGGCGGGTAATTTTTAGGTTTTTTTTTTGGATTTTGGTTCTTTGAAATCAAAAACTCATTTGTTTACCCATTTTCTTATGTCACTTAGTTTTATTTATTTTTTGACTTATACTATCTTGTTTTGCTCTTTTACATGGAAGAGTTCTATGTAATGTTGGTTTTTGTTGAATGTTGCTGGTTGATAATGAAATTTGAAAAACATCTTTTATATACTTTAATATTGAACCAAGGATTAAAGTATCTATACCCAATATCATATCGAACAACTTGGATAATATCAAACAATACATTAATTAAGAGTCCAAGACACAAAACATATGAACCTATTATGTTTATCCTAATTATTATATCAGTTATTTTTTATTTTATTATTTTTACCTTTTAACATTAACAAAAAGGGTTAACCAAATATTGAATTCTCAAATATAAATTAAATTGTCACTAAAAAATTTATAAAAATATATAATTTTTACTCAAAAAATCAAATCTATTAAATTTTTTAAGATATATATCATATGCAAATTCATAATTTTTAATTACTAAAATAATTTTTTCATTATTAAAATTTGAACTTCTATTAATTTTTTGAAACTAAAAACCATTTTTCATATAAATGTAAATTAATGGATTTGATAGATTCAATTTGATACTATATTCTAGAATATTTTGTAAACAATTTTTTTTTATCTTTTGTAAATGATAAATATAATGTTATTTAATATAAATTAAAAATATTAGTTAAGATAATTGTTCTATTATTAATATTTTATTTGAATAAATTCTTGTGATTAAAATCATCTATTGATGTAAATTTGAATTTGATAGATTATTTATTCTATTTATTTATAAAATAATAATTTTAAATATTCTTTTTCTTAATTTTTAGTTGGAATTGCTAATCATAAAAATATATTGTTTGTTAGGATAAATACAAAAGTTAATACCAATTATTTTATTTCATTAAATACCACAAAAGTCAAAAGGTAAGATGGCTTAATGGCTTAAAGACTTAAAGTAGTGTTAAGTTTTGTCCCTATCATTAACTGATCCGGGTTCAAATCATGCTTTTGGAGTTGATAAGCTTTTTTTATAGTAGAAATCGTTAATTAACTTTTGAAATCGGTTGAGATGGGTTTAACGGGCATGGGACGGAGTGGGTTGGAATAACTAAGAGGAAAAATTAGAGAGGATTTAGAGTCAAGAATACATGACGAGTTCGGAAATGAATAAGGCAATTTGCACGGATACCTTACCCGTTGCCATTCCTAAACTCAACTGGTGAAGTGGTGATTCTTCCTAATGTAGAACTGGAACATCTGAGTGCTTGAATGAAGAGGTTGTTTATATATTTATTAATTGATGGGTCTTAAGCATAACAATATAATTAATGCATACCCTAGTAGAGTGATAGAGTCTTGGATTACTCTCAGAGGAGCATCGTCGCCGATGATAAGATTCTTCAACCAAGGCGTTGCTCCGAAGATAAATCCCACGATCTGGTAGGAAATGCAAAAGTGCAAGGATTTTTCTTGTCTTAAATAAATAATGACAAAATTAAATAACTGCTCAAACACATATATTAGAATCCAGAAGAAATGAGACCCGCTTGAGTGCTCACAAGACCATGTTCATACTGTTTGAACAGCCTTTTACAACTAGCCATGCATTGGAAATACCTCTGTACTTGTATGTTTTTTTATGGAGAAATATTCCCAAGGATGCAAGGGACTGTGCAAATCTGTGAGCACGGTCTTGTGAGCACTAAAACCGATTTCAAAGTAAATTGCTTACTGCGGCAATGGTCGGAGGTGCCATTAACTCTTCTAGAAGCTGATGAATAACTCCTTTTAGTTTTTCCCAGAATGTCCTCTTCTCTTCTGCTCTCTCACTTGATAACTGTTGTACAATGTAGAATGTCATTATTTTAGAATTGAGAGCAAACCATTCGCACCCCTATAAATGTAAATGCATGGGAGTGCAAATCCGCGGACTGTAAATTCTGATTTACTTTTGTTTCACATTTAACTTTGTTTAATTTGTTTGTAAGGTGTAAATTAGGAAATAAAATTATGTAATTCCTGACTTATATGAAAAATAATGGAGGTAGGAGAGGGTTATTTGTTTTGGGAGTGGATTCTGGATCTCCTATGTGGGCAGGAGACCCGAACTCTTTGGAGTGAGGTAGGAAGGGAGACAATGTTGTCTCCTTTTTATATGATAGAGAATTGAGGTAGGCTAATCCATAACCCCCCAAGTCCCAACCACCGGTGGCAGCAGGACTTGATAATAGATCTCCGCTACCAACAACAGGGAGCGGATTAGCTGGAGACAAGATTATACACACCAGGCAGGCTGGACTACCTATCACAGTTGAACATGCCGGTGCCCACTGTGGGCCTCATCTGTACTGAACACTGGCATGTTCAACCATGATAGGTAGGCTAGCCCGGTGTAGACAAAAAGGTACAAATTTTACATCAAATAGGAATACAAATCATGTTAACAATCAAATGAATGCAAAATTTATAATCTGTTGATTTATGCACTCGAAAACAAAAGGATCACTTACAACTTGATTTCCTGTATACTCATCAGCGACCTTGGCTTTTTCTAGGTCATCTGTTTTGAGAAGGTGAGCTTCACCGGTGGCATCTGGATCTGTGTTTGGTAGCTTTAGAATTGATTCAGCTGCCTGAAGTGCTCTGTACCTTATTCCCGAAGTTTTTATAAGATAGTAGGTGTAAGACCAGATAAAGAAACCTCCAAGCTGTATGACATTTAAAGTAGAAGGATGGAGTGTTAGTCTAAAAGAAAAACTCAATCAACTTTAAACTATGCATGGCGTGCAATCATTTGATGAAACCAGCTAGGTTGATTGAATTACAGAATCCCGTTGTATCTCTACCAGCAAAGATATACAAATGGAAGATGATCACAGATAGAACAGAGAATATTGCAGAAATAATGAGACGTGGGTTACTTTACCGCCATGGAGAAAGATGCATAGGAGAGCCCAGCGGAGCTGCAGAATTTATTATCAGCAAATGGGCTGCCATCCTCGTCACATATTGCAGGGACGACTATCAACATAAGGTTTCCCAAGTTTCCTGGTTTAATTATTAATGGAGAAAAAGAAGAATGCTGCTGAGTGAGATACTAGATCAGAGCTAGCCCAAAACAATTCTGCTGATGGGTACACATATAAAAACAGAATGCTGAAACAAATTGGAACAACTATAATACCTGCTGAACATGCAGCAATGATAAGGCCTTCCAGATGTGGCTCGGGTTTCAGTATTTTTACAACAATCCATCCAAGAATTCCTCCAATTAAGAAGATTAGGCCGATGTTAACCGGCATAAACCACCTAATTAATTAAATAGAAGATCAACAAATCACCCCCACAACACACAAAAGTAAATATATATATAAAAATAAAGCACAAGTAACTTCTTACCATGAAATAATGTCTTCAAGCGTGACAGTCTTAGCTAGAGATGCAAACACGAGAGATGGAGCGAACACAACGAACACAATCTGCATTAATTGGAGCAAAAGTTACCAGCAGGCTAGAGAATATGAAGAAATTAATTTCAATATTGTCATCTCATCTCATCAGTAATAGCTAATAATAGGGTATGTCTTGATGGTACCTTGTTCAGGTATCGGCGAGCATCTGCATTGAGTAGTAGACTGCAGTAGTCGGTTGCCATGAAAGCCCCCAGAACACCAATGAGGAGGACCTCTAATACTGGCATTGAAGCCACTTGGAAAAGTGTCCAGAAACCCATCTTTTCTAATTTATTGGTTGTTGATCTTGTGGGTTTGGGCTTGCCTCTTTCCTGGCTTTGGGCTTTTTCTCAGTTGGACCTTACTAGAAAATTCTGCACCCATATATAGCCACAGCGAACCAAATTAAATTGCAGTCACAGACATTAAAAATTTAGATTGCAGTCACAGACATTAAAAATTTAGATTGCAGTCAGTGTTGCAATGGATGACGTGAGTCTGACACTGACACTCCAAAGAGTCCTGAGATTATGTACAAAAGTGTAATTACAAGATAATTGTCATTTTTCATATCAACTAGTATAAACTATAAACACAACACAACCTTTTAGACCTTTTGTGCAGATATATAATGTTTTCATAATAGGAAAAGATATATATTTTTGGAAAAGACTTTGACCAGTCAAACCCCTAGTGTACTGAACATACGTTGAGTAAATATATTGGATTGAGATCTGGATTTCATCCTGCACCAATCCCACAGATGTACATCGATGATTTCATTGATGGAAAGATGTTTTCAATAAGCTGCTTGATTTGGTGTGTGAGAAAGTTGTAATACATCTGTTTAAATTTAAAGGTATTTTCTTGGTCTAAACATCCAAACAAGGTTAATTGCAAGAAAATTAATGGGATGATCATCATCATACAAGCCTTGTGCTAACTATGTGGGGTCCTTTACATGTATTCATCATCATCAACATCGTCTCCTTGATTTTTGAAAATCAGCATTGAAATGAGGGAGAAGTGATGGGATGAGAGGTGCCAGCCGGCCCCCAATTCCCATCTGGCTGTTTCCCTTAATTAGATTCTGCCATTCTGGATCCACGATAAATTGTGACAAGGTTCCTTTGGCTGTTTCGGTTAGTTGGAGACTTGGAGTCCGGATTTCTAGTGGAGCAGCATTGGGATTGGAATTAGGATGGGAGTAAAAAGATAAAAAAAATCGGAAAACTACGAACAGCCTGGCTCTGGCTGTTAAATGCGAATATACAAAGTTTTCTCGGATGAAATGTCGAAGATGGAGCGATACGACAATACGACTACGAGAGAATCTACAAGGTCCCAGAAAAAAATTGATTCATGTCTAAAGAACTATTAATGATGATGGGAAATATGCGAATATACTTGCCATCTTAGCTCAGCAGATAGAGAGCATGCTTTTAACCATGTGGTTGTGGGTTCGATTCCCACGACGGCGTTCGTACTTTATTTTTTTGTTAAAGTCATACACTTCATTGATTCGTATGAGTAACTTTTGAGACCAACTGGTAATACTTGTTTAATACTATTTTTTCTAAAAAGTGATGTGTTCGGCTCATGGTTGAGCTGGTTTCTAAAGCCACGTGGCCGCCCAGTCAGCTCCGTGGCATATGGTGGCTCTGCAGTGAGGGCCGTGCTACGCTATTTCCATAACCTTTTTTTACCTTATCCTCTCAACCATGTCAGCTTCATGTCATGTGGATAAACACGCCTAAAAGTAGGAGAGAGATGATGACAACTCCACTAGGGATTAGAATTCTATCCCTAAGACCTTGGTGGTGAACCTCATCCCGACAGTCTTGGAAGCCTAATTCAATCAAGACACGGACCTTCAACTATAAAAATGTATCACCCGCTCAAGATAAGAGATTCCAATTTCTAGTACCCATATTACTCTCTTACTCGGACCAGCACACTCATTGCTCGGTCCAACCATCTATCACCTTCTACTGACTTGAGTGTCGGAGTGCTTACTTGGGGACAATTCCTCGGGCCTCTAACTTCCTTTCTTGATCACAGGTTTTGAAACACGGCTCCGTCCTTCCACCTCAGCTCCGCCTTGTTGGCAAGGACTATCTAACTGCAACCTTGGTTCGTGCACCACCTCGAATCGAGCAACATCATGATGCTTATTTTTTTGTTTGGAATCAGTGCTACCATATAGGCATTTTTTAAAAAAACTACTAGTTTTGTTTGATACTAATACTGGCAGCAACGTTCAATATTGATCTATATTACCCAATGCCTAAGATAATACCACATCATTATACTATTGACAATAATACATAAACATTGAATTTGGTATTGCTCTAGACCACATTTTTTTGATTTCCAAGGCGTGGTCTAAAACAATATCTTTTATTTTGAAAAACAATACCAACCAAAATGGCATTGTTTGAAGCACCGCTTTCTCTGATGGGCACCTATGTGGCACCATTTTCTTAGAAAACAGCATGAATGCCAAACATTGCCTAAAATTTATGAACTGAAACCGAACCAAATCAACCGGTTGATGAATTTAGGTTTTTGACTAATTCGATTTTTCAATTTTTATGTTTATAATATATATTATAAAAAATATATAAATATATAAAATATATTATATTGTAAATGATAAATAATATATTATATATTATTTTTTAGGTTAATTGAAAATTGAACCAATCTTTAGTTTTCCAAAAATATTAAAGTGATCAATTCGGTTAACTGGATTTTTTTTATTCTATTTTCTCAATTTAACCAAAACAATGGAAAAAAACAAAATAATGAGAGAAAGAAAGGAAAATTAGAAACGTGACCACTCAGCAGTCAGCAGTCACGATTTGCAACCATCACACCATGCATAAGTGGCATCCATCTAATCACGAACAAAAAACACTTCTTTTTAAGTATACAGATAACGTGGCTTTATCTCCATCAGTCACCAAATTGGAGGACACCGACAATGTTACCTGCTAACTTTATATGATGGATCATTTTCCACTTTTGTAATAATAAACGAATTTTCTCATTCTTTTTTCTCAAGAAAAAAGAATTTCATCTGTTTGTACAATTGGAAATAGGATCTGAAAATGACTATAAAATCAGAGAAAGAGAGGAGAGACATTCAATGAATAATAACTTTATATGGAGATGTTCCTATATCTGCGGTTAAGATGTGCTGTGAGGTTTCTATGAGTAATGGAGGAACTCTCATAAAATAGATTTTTAAAAATAAAATGAGAAATATATAAGATAGGGTCTATCGATCCTTGAAGGCCCGATAAAATCAGAAATTTATTAATAGATTTTCCTAACGCCTGAGTTCGAGCATGGTCTGACCATTGGGCTTACAACTTGGGCCCGAGCCCAACCCTCATAAAAAACCCAAAGCCCGGGCCTGGGCCCGAGCCCGAAATTTAGCCCATGTTGCTACTACATAGAGAGAGAGAGTGAGAGAGAAATTATAAAAAAAATAAAAAAATGTATATATTAAATTATAAATATATATATTTCAATAAATATTATACTATTAATATATTTTATATAATATATAAAATATATATTATGTATTTTATAAAATATATAATGTCGAATTGGGCCAGGCCAGGCTCGGGCCGGGCTTTTTTGACAAATCCCGAGCCCGATCCGTAACACAGTCGGGCTTACTGTGTTAGGCCCAAAGTCAGGCCCGTGGGCCTAATTACATGACCAAGCCCGACCGGAGTGCAGGCCGAGCCGAGCCATCTGGCTACCCAGCCCATGAACAGGTCTAGCCATAACAGAAATATGTTAGACCTGTTCATGAGCGGGGCTAGGCCGGGCTTGGGCCGGGCTTTTACTCTCCATTAACAGAAATATGTTAGGCCCGAGCCCGAGCCCGGCCCGACCAACGAGCCTACAACTTGGGCCCGAGCCCGACCCTAATAAAAAGCCCGAAGCTCGAGCCTAAAGCTCGACCTAATAAAAAAATTAAAATTTTCCCTATTCAATAATCAATATAAATCAGAATTTATTTACATTAAAAATATATATAAATTCAAAATTTATATATATTAAAAATATAATATAAAGAAGGGAAAGAGGATGTGGAGAAGAAGAATTCGATTGGAAAAAGAAGGGAAGGAGGTGAAAAAAAGAGGGGTATTCAACTAGGGTTTTTAGGTTTAGTTATAGGTCGGGCCGGGTTGGACTCGGGCCGAGCTATTTTGGCAAATCCCGAGCCCGGCCCGAATTTATTATGGGCCAGGCTTTTTTGGCCCGAGGTTAAGCCTGCGAGCCTATATACCTGTTCAAACCCGTCCGGGGGTCGAGCCGGGCCAGGCCGGCCAGTCCAGGGGTCAAGCCGGGCCAAGCCGGCCCATCGGGCCACCCGGCCCATGAACAGGTCTAGCTTTTTTTATGACTGTAGATTTCGAGCATTTGAGTCCGTGAGAAATGTGTAATTTTGAAATTCTCCCACCTCATAATTGGGTAAATTGCATATTAATACCTTACATTTGAGGTAATCTCACTTTAGATCCTAAACTTAAAAACGTGGCTCTCTCACTTTAGACGTCATTGTTAGCATTTTGTTGATTATTTGGCGCATATGATGTCATATGCGATTAGAAACTTCTAAAATCCCAGAATAATCCACCTCCTCTTGGAAGTCAGCCAAAAATTCCTTGACCGGACACCGAATAATCTTAAACGAACGGAGTGAGACCTCTCTTGATACGGGTGGAATGTGGAAGAGGACAAGTCATCGACAACCTACCAAGTATGAGGGTAGATTAGTAATTTTATTATCCATTATAATGTCCGTTCACAGAGTCGAACTAAAGTGGCAATTTTCGAAAGTTAAGGCCCTGTTTGGTTCGTGGGAATAGGGTCTGTAATCATAATCGAAATGGACAATTCTAATTCTAACTGTTTGATTGGATAGAATTGGAATCTCATTTTCATTCCCATGGCATTCCCTCATTTGAGAGAATGGCCATTTTCTGTCCCTCCATTGGGAATGAAATCCCATTCCTACTGATTTCAATTCCCATTTCCATTCCTCTAAGAACCAAACAAACTATGGGAATGAACCATTATGATACCAATTCCGGAGGATTTTAATGTAAGAACCAAACAAACTATGGGAATGAACTATTATGATACCAATTCCGGAGGATTTTAATTCCAATTCCAATTCCAACTGCAAGCCAAACAGACCCTAAATACTGTGGTGTTACATTTTAAAGTTAATTGAGAATTTGAGATGAATCTACAATTTACCCAACTTTTATTTATATGTACAATTAAGGATAATGGCAGAAGGAGAATCTATTACAAGAACATTGTATCCTAGGGTTTTGAAGAATAAAACAAAAAAATAAATATAAATCGATAAAATAGAGTTACAAATTAATGTATCGGATCGGATTTAGTGAAGGGTATATCCAATATATCCGATTAAATAAGCAATCTAATAGATCCAAATCCAATAAAAAAATCGTCAGATTTACAAGATTATGATTTGAATTTGAATTCGAATATCGATTTGATTTATATATTATAGAAAAAAACTTGGATATAATATAAACAATATATTATATTGTAAGAATATAATAATATACAATATTTGATAGCTATTGGATTGCATAAAGATATATTTAAATTCAATCCTCTAACTAAACAGATCAAAGGGTGGTACCCGGATCCGGATATTATCCGATCAAATTCGGATTCGATCGGACCTTATCCGTTTTCAGCCCTAAAATGGGGCAAAGAAAAGATTGTCCAGAAAATTTGGCTCTGCATGCTCCACAGGACCACAGCCTGTGGGTCAAACTTGAGGAGCCGGAAAAGGCCAAAAGTCATTGAAAAAGATACGACAGTAAACATTAATGAGGAAGTAGGAAAAGGAGTTAAGGAGGTATGGGTTTTCCGCATCTCTGAGTACTTCTTCCACTAATTAAAGAAAAAAAGGTAAATCTATCGTAGTCATCATCCCAATTAATCCCTATTCGAAAAAAATCTCCATTCTCCAATTCAAACACCACCTACCTGTATATATCTCATAACTCTCTAGAAATAATCACAATAAGAATTGCTGTAAAAATAATTCAATCTCAGTTTTTCCTTCTTTTATTAGTTTATTTGCTAAAAGGATGGATTCAGAAGGGATTAATAAGGGATTTGCTTGTTCAATTGAAGATCAGAAAAAAGAAGTTTCTTCGAGCTATACGGTTATATATGAAATGAAAAGAAAAGAAACAAACATTGATTATAAGAACAGAGTCGTCTGAAACATAGGCCATCGAAAAGGACAAAAAGCAAAGGAGAAGAAGAAAAAAACGATGATGGATTCCGAAACGTGGGATATTGAGTTGAGGCTCTGTTGGTTTCAGATGCATTTTCACCTGTTTCTTATCAATCTTTATCGGAAAAATTCTAACTACCGTCCCTCTTACGTTTGAAATAAACTGAAAACAAAGCATAAATAACTACCAATATTTTTACTCAGGATCAGAGAACAAGAACAAGCTAGAACGAAAAAGAGAGAAAAAAAAAGAAGATCCAAATTAACATAATCCAACAACGAAAAACCATTGAAAACCAGAGAAAGAAAGGAGAGACGATGACGAACCTGCAACGGAGGCGAGGTGACCTGAAAATCAGGTGAGCCAAGGGAAAGGAAGAGGAGGAAGAAACGACGGAAGCGATCGCGCGAAGAAGGAAGAAGGAAGCCATTGGAATCGCCTGCAGCTTCTTTTTTTAGTTAATAGAGCATAGAGTGTTTGTGTAGTTTTTGTTTCGTTGCCCGGCATCCCAGGGTCCTATATATATAGAGTTATAGATATACCACAGACTCCACAGTCGTCATCGTCTTCTTCGTACTAATCGTGTTTTGATTGCCAGCCAGAGAAAGTCAGAGACAGAAAGACAGAGAGAGAGACGCCAGAGACGCCAGAGACGCACATTGCACGTATGTAGGAAAGAAAGAATCCGGATTAGTTTGTAGGTTGCAATTGATGGATCTGTGTGTGCTCTTTGGGATGTACACATGTAAAAGCATGCTTGGTGACTGATTGATGAGAGGAAGAATAGGATATTACCCGTATAGCACGTGTCCTTATTTACCAAGAAAAAAGATATAGCATGTGTCCACTGCCACCTGTCAGTTACATCACATGCAATTCGCCCCATCACCCATAAACGGACTGGGCAAATCTCATGTAAATAATACAAGTTTACAAGGGTAATTTAGTAATCTTCGGGAGTTACAACCCCACAAGATGCAACGCAATTTTGTATCTAGATATTATTATTACGTACCATCTGCCATAATCCCATCCATCCACGTACGGAAACCGGATTCAGTCAGGATCAGGTCAGTTTCAACAACCTTTATGGCTTTGCATTTGAAATATCTCCTGTAATGTTCTCAACGCAACGCTGTAAAGGTTCTTCGAATGGTTCTTGCACTGACTGAAGCCGTACTCCCATGTACGTCGATAACTCAATGGAGGAAACCGGATTCAGGATCGGTTGCCCCACAACATATTCCTTCGCTAATTCACGGGTGGGGGTACTGGGTATGGGTGTTATATATGAAAGTATTTATAATTTGAATTGTTATAGATTTGTAATTAAAATTAGAATTTTAAGATAGAATGCAGTTTAAAAATCTTTATTTATTTTTAGGACAAATTGCTAAAACCCCTCATGTATTTTTTATAGTTGCGGTTCGGTATTATTTAATGTTAATATCACTGTCTTGCATCTACACCTCTTTTAGAAGGCACAACATTAAAGAAATAACCCCATTTCTTCTTACCATGATATCACTGTCCTCCCCTCCTCTCTACATTTTACCCCTTGCATAATAAGGTATAAGAGGATAAGATCTTCTCCGTGCGTAGTTTTGATACTATGTGGGTAAGAAACCTAGACTCACAACGAGTTTGAATCTGTGCCCCACAGAGCTCACTCCATAACCATATCTTAGTATGCATTGAAAATATATCTGAAATTGTCATTGGAAAATGATCTAAATACACGATCAAGATGTGTTGTGGGGCGCAGTTATTAATTTTGCAATAACCATAAAACATCTTTTGAACCACCACATTTTTTTGGATCATTAACCACATTTTTCTCTATATACTTGTAGTTGACAAATTTGAAGCCGAGGCTTGAGGGTAGATTAATAATTTTTGAGTTTTGAAGGTTGATGATCCTACTGCTAAGAGTGTAAAGATGTCAAGAGACCTTGAGAATAAGGACAAAGATTCTAATGGTCAAATAAGTCAAAGTCACAATAATATTGTGGTGCCCCGTTTATAGTTGGATGTTGCGTATAAATTGTAATGAAAAAGGCAGCTAAGAGAGATATCGGCCCATCACTATGTTGGAAGTAAATGCACCAAAAACGTGATGCCCACAATAAATGCTCCCACAGTAGTGTTTCGTGGGAATTACCCCATTAGTCTAAACTAGTGTGGAATGATGAAATTATACAGTGCCACATGTTAACATCGAGTGAATTGATTGAATATGCTTACATCAATAATTTATTATTTATTTATATTGATCAATTCAAAACATTTGATGTAAGAAAAGAAATGGTACTTACATACAAATCTAGCGTTTTTGAGCTACAATTCATTCCAATAGTTACATTGAGTGTTACCCTATGATATTTGGATTTAATTTTTATAATCAACAGGAGATGCAAGGAAAATATCAGCTTTATATGGTATAGATAATCTTAATGGTTAAGCCTTTCGTTAGGTAATAAGACCGACCATGCACCACCAGTTAGCATACGCCTCCCTATGTCGGCTGCTGTCTTCATCGCAAAATGTGAAACAATGGGTCGGGTTAAGTGGTAGGTATGCTTTGACGGTTTGACCCGATTCTACTAGCTAAAGGTTAATTTGCGTCAGCCTTAATCGGGTTTCAGGTTGAGGCTGATTTCTGTCAAATTTGATCTCTTAACATAGAAACGTTGAAAACGAGCAAATACAAGAACAATGGTACTGTGTTCAGGATTGGGACAGCACAGGTTTTGATAATCTCATACCAATGAGTCGGCTCAGGTTTGGGTTGTGCCTAACCCCATATCAAACCCGACCCATTAATATATCTAAATTCTAACCCATCTAACCCAATGCCCTCCTTAATTGAATCAGAGAAAAATGTCCAATATGAAACAACAGATCAAGTATTCCATTCTGTATTTATCATCCTAACCCTTAATTTAATTTGTTATTAGCTTCAGTTTGGAAGAGAGCAAAAAAAATATAAGTATGTATATGCAAATACAAAGATTTAGAAGTATTGTATGCAAGGGTTTGCATTCTTCCCAAATAATCCAATTCGATTATTTTAGATTTGGATGATTACATAATCGGCTCATATTCAGATTTTGCAATCTGTACTTGATTAGTAATCAGATCGGATTCAGAATTGATTCATTCTAATTTGATTAAAATCTGAATCTGATTATATAATGATATTTATTGATTTTAATATATAAATTTTATATAATTATATTTAAAATTATAAAAATATATATTTTATATATGGATTTGTATATAATAAATTCAATGTGTTATATTTATATTAATTTATAATATATAAAAATTGAAAAATAATTATTCTTTTGTATTTTAAAACTTAAAGAATAGTCAAATTAAATCCAAATCCATTAACATTTGAATTTGAATCTTAGTTTTTGAAATCCAATCAAATTTCAAATTGGATACAAATTTTCAGTAATCAAATCGAATTTGAATTTTGCTTAATTCAATCCGATTGCAATCCTATATAAAGCCTTATGTTTGATGTAATATGGCTTCATAGACTTGAATTGAGATTTGGATGATCTTTATTAAAACCGTGTAACTTTGAAAGAAGGAAAGAATGATTGAATAATTAAGACGAATGAATGCAGCAGAAAAGAAAATGAAAACTTTGGCGTATTTAATGCATAGTCAGTATCTCAAGTAGACTGAATCAATGTAGAACATAAGACACCACATGTCCTGGATGTATGTCCAATATATGTCAGTAACATGGATATGCTTCGTGGTTGGTCAGTGTTTGGGTCATATTAGCAAAAGGACAATCGTGTATGACTTGAACATTATTATATTAAAGGAACATGATTCATGAATTAGACTGATAAATGCCTATCATCAACTTCTGATAACGATATATGGTGAATGATGACCGATTCCTCATCGATCTATCCCCTTTCTTATTTATATGCATACTTTTTAATTGTTACTAGGCTCCGTTTGGAAGAAGTATTGTTTTGTATATATCTATACTGTATATATTTATCTTTTTTCAAGGCAAATAACCCAACACCAGACATATTTGTATTTGTACTCATTCCAAACTGAGCATAATAATTACTACTCGAGAAAACTTTGTTGTATGGAACCCAAATTTGCCGCCCTATCTATCAGCGTGACTGGGTGGGGGATTGGATGCAGAAAGCAGAGTTGGGATTGGCTCCTCACAGAATGCATCAATGCATTCTACATGCACATCCAACCGTGTATTGGGACACCTTGGCCCCACTCTGTGGAGAGCCCATGCGAATTTGAAAGCAGAAACCCAACATTTGATACAAGATGCATGGGTTTACTCAAAAATTTATTGTAAATTGCCAACAATAGCATTCCAGTTTTTTTTTTCTTTATTCATGTTCTTTTATTTTCCTAGGTAAATAGGATAATAATCGTTTTAACTATAAAAAATCATTAATAAAAGAGACAATTTTGCTTTATCAAGTGTTGGAAACTTTTTCCTAAGTGGGAAAGTTACTTACTCACTTGGAAGATGGGTATCACTTACCCGAATAAGTGAGTAAGTGATACCCAAGTAAAATAAATTTCCCCCTCTCAAAATCTAAAAGATGAATGAGCCCTTAGTGTAATAGCCTATGCATATGTACAAGTATTAACCATAGAAAGACTAAAGAGGAACATGAATGAATATACAACAAAATCACATTGTCCATGTTTAAGAGAATCTGAATTTTTAGTAGGGGTGGCAATTTGAAGGGTTTGGGTGGAACTTCAATCCAATCCATGTAAACCAGTAACCCATTAATGATCCATTTAGATAAAATTAAATGGGTTAGATTCAACCAAAACTTGCCTTAAACCAACTTGACCCAATCCAACCCATTTAATTAATTAAATGAGACAAACATATATTGCAGAAAAACATAACAATAATTATACAAAAAACACAGAAAATGAAGAAAAATAACAGAAATTGTACAAAACAAAAAACATAAATTACAAAATAAAAAAGTAGAAAAACACTGTAAATGTAGAAAATAATAGAATTACAGGAAAGGTTAACAGAAGTTCAGAAAAATATAAAAGGAATTATATAGAAACATAAAAATATAACAAAATTTACATAAAAAAGTTAGAAATGGCAGAAATTATAGGAAAGACAACAGAGAGTAAACCAAAAATTACAGAAAACGATGAAAGTACACATAAATTATATAGGAAACAAACATACACAAAAAGACAAAAAATAAAATAAACAGAAATTATAAACAAGACACAAAAATTGAAGAAAATTAATAGAAATTAAATTGTAGATATATCTCATTTGAATCCCATCCGTTTGCAGCTTGATTTATTTTGGCCAAAATTTTTTGGATTGTAATTTTTTTTTTGAACCCTAAATTTACTCCTAATGGAAGGGTGACTACCAAAATTTTGTTAATAGATCTCAAAATAAAAGTGGACATAAAGGTCAGATCTCTAAACAATTGAAAAAAGGATAAAGGTCAGATCTCTAAAAACCCCAAAAGAAAAATTATCCCACCCGAATATAAGGTAAACCCATCCCATCAGAACGAAGAAAAAGTTGAGTTTCCTGAGGTAACTGATCCACATTGTCAAAAATCTGATCCATCTGGGCTGTACACGCCAGATTTTCCAAATTATCAGCCG